AATGTTTTTCATACTAATCAATTTAAAACAATTAAAGAAATTGCCTAATCAAATATGTGTTATGCAGTTGATAATTTACCATAATTTTAATGAAAACTTCTAAACTAAATAAAGGTTAATTATTGATACATAATTATAAATGAAAAAAAACAAAAGTTAATTATTCATCAATTTTTATGGAGCACATAATAATACATTATTTATCATTTTTTATGGTGCATAATAATACATTAGAAACCTATGAAACAAGGGGATTTTGTCCGGGTAGATAAGGGGATTTTGTCCAGCCTTGCAAAAACATGAAGGGGATTATGTCCACCCATGGAGGGGATTTTGTCCGGGTATGCGAAGGGGATTTTGTCCGAAGGGGATTATGTCTGACATTCACATCTATCAGCTAAAATTCAGCACTTTCTCCGATATCTCATTAGGTTGTGTCTTTAACGTTAATTAAACAAAATAATAAAACCTTTTCCTACAGATTTTCAGCATACAATATGCTTCGATCCCGTATATAAATTTATCCTCTGTTAAATCAATGATTTGTATCTAAATAAATTCTTTTAACCCAATATAGCGAACTGATTCCATCAAATGATCCTCTCCTTTTTTCTTTTGCAATCCTTTTAATGGTCTATAAACTCATATACCTCTCATCTAAGACAATGAGGGTTTGAGCCCAATACTAATCAGGATCATATATCCTCAATAAAATGTTACATCCGACATCCGTACCTGGTTATTTGTTAATCAGACAGCAGTAAAATAGAAACCAATACAAGCACATAAGCTTTGGAACCGTCCAGTTAGGTCAATAGAGCATTGAACTGTGAACCGGGCAATATGGGTTTGATTCCCGAACAGTGCAGGTCACTTATCATGTGATTGATCATGAAATCCTTTCTATCGTCATTTGCACTATACCTCTGCTCTGGCATATACAGAAGTTATCAGTTCCTTAAGATAGTGAAGGCAACTAGAACTGGCAAACTGCTTGACAGCCTGCCCTGAGGAACGGTGTGGTGGCTGAACTGTGTTGAACTCATTGTGGCTTACTGTCATGATACGGAGTGAAAACTATCAACACCACCACCAATATAAGCTTTTGTAACATTATGCAGTGAAGTATTATCATGCTATCATGCTATTTGTAGATAACTATGCCAGCAGCTTGCAAAGTGCTCAGGCATCCGAGTATAACAACTTGAACTTAAGCTTGGTAAAAAACAATCTTAAGTCATCGGCAAGACTCAGTCCTTGTATATCTACCCTCAAAACAAAATTTAACAAACAAAAAAATTCAGAGTCATTGGCAAAATTCAAACCCACAACCGTCAGTTCTAGTTAACAGATAATCTGTTACTGGGATCTTAAGCACAGGTCTGTCTACAAAACTAAATTCTATTCCAAACTGGTGATAAACTGTAAAACATAATCTCCCAAAAATCGTAAACAGATATCATGCGTTAAATTACACAGTTACTGATTCAGCTGCTTCAAATTTCACGAAATGATTATTTATTCTTCCCGCAAAAAAAACCCCACCCCAACAAACTCCATCTTCCTAAAAAACATTTAGTTTGAGATAAGTAAATAAACATTAGGGAATGTAAATTTTGCCAGTAGCATGGCATCTAAACCAATTTACTGCACATTATCACGTAATCTACCGAAAGGCCTGGCAGAAACAAATCTGTTATAACAAAAACAGGAAAAAACTTTCCAGATTCGAATACTCAAAGAAAATTCTTCAATTTGTCAATGAGCACTTAGTGCCTTAGAAAAATCCATTTCTTATCAATACATCATCAACCTGTGGTATCATATTACCACATTGCAGACACTTGTAAATGAATATTTATTTAAATCTTGCTATCATATAGTTAAAAGATGTTCATGATTATTTTTAGAATATGAAAAAAAATCCCTATTGTAAGCTACTGCCTAAGATCAAAAGAAATTTAAATCTTTTGTTACCTTACGCTTTGTATGCAACAAAAGGGATAAGCCCTATTATTTCCTTTTAATTTGTAGGGTCTCTATTATGGACCTCCCTCCATTATTCATAGAGTTGTGTCCCTTTTCGAATGCAATGACAACTCTATGAGTGAAGAAGGGAGGTCACTCTAGGGAACAAAAGTATAATGTGTGTGACAGAATTGGTGCCACTGTTTTAATTAATTTGTATGTGGAGTGTAATTGATCAATCTTAAACAAGAAAGAGTAAATTATAGCAAATACCATTACATATAAAAATCTGGTGAGAGCCCTGTATGAATATTGGTTTCAAGAAACAATGCCCCTCATCTTAAATTGACTAAGACTAAAAAACATGGCTTCCCTATGTAAGGAAACATGGGAAAATCTTTTTGTTGCCTAAGTGACCTTGACCTTGATTGAATCAATCGAAAATCCTAAACACTTGTCTATTAAAAATCTGAAGTTGAAAAATGGGAATTTCTCTAAAAATACTGCTTTGATAATTATGCAAGTTTCATGTTGACACCCTTCGAAATGTTTGAATAGTGGGCTTTGTTAAAGTTAAACTACAATGACAACCTTTTCCTAAGCACTAAAAAAAAAATTCCAAAAAATATTCATGAAACTATAGTCATAAAAGAATATACATAAAAATAATAAGACAAACAAGTTCATCACTGAAGATAATTATTTCAACAATAAAACCTCTACTCTATAACAAGAAATAACTAGTGATGCGAATTCTGACAAATTATTCTCTACAGTAAGTTGTATCTAAGGAATAATATTTATACCCAACATTTTCTCCCAATAAAAACCATTATTGACTATAGCCTTTCCGAGAAAGACTTGACTGTATTAGTTAAGAAGATGTATTTTTTTCCATGGAAACCCTATATAAATGATTTGTTGAGGGAATAAATAAACCAAGTCTCCTCATATATGTCTGCATGTTTTTTTTTTCCTTTCTTAAATGTTCGATAATTTACAGACTTTTTCCTAATCACTTAAAAAATACAATTTTTCCTAAAAATCATTTTCAAAATTCACAAGTTTTTCTGTTGTTTCAACTTATTGTTGTTTTTTACCAATTTACCTTATTTCACAATTCAAACATTTCTAAAACCAGTACTGAGACTACCCATAAGTGCTGAAAAACATTATAAATACAATATGCAAAATAAACTAAGATGTCCTCCGGTATCATTTTACAGATTCAAATGAAATTAATGCACAGTTTTTTTTCCCCCGCGGCATCTTAAAGTATATTAAATGCCAAGGCAACCACTGAATTTTCCAATACACGATATGTGAGAGGCGCGATGATGATTTGAAATTCCTTTTTTTCTTTACATTTTGGATTCAAGCATGATATTAATTTTTCTTCTCTTATTTAAACACTTCTCTTTGGCATTTTCTTTTTTTTCTCATTAATTGTGAAAAAAAAATCAAAACTAATATACTGACCACCCAAAACAAAACAGAACATAAACAAGTCACTTAATATGGATATTTATCATGAGTTAAAGATATACTATGCTCATCTTTGAGTAAAATAATCTTATTTGCAAAAATGTATTGAAATAATCTATGAAATTCTTACTGAATATGTCTAATTTGAATAAAAGTATGTACAAACTATGTATGGGAAGCTGCATTCCCTATTACATGTCAAGTAAAGTAAAAATGTTGGTCCGTTCTTAAAAAACTGCCAGTTTTTTTAATGACACTATACATTCATATTGTGGCCTCCCAATAATAACATAATATATGAGCCGCGTCATGACAAAACCAACATAGTGCGTTTGCAACCAGCATGGATCCAGACCAGCCTGTGCATCCGAGCAGTCTGATCAGGATCCATGCTGTTCCCTTACAAACCCTATAATAAGTAGAGAAACTGATAGCGAACAGCATAGATCCTGATCAGACTGAGCGGATGCGCAGGCTGGTCTGGATCCATGCTGGTCGCAAACCCATTATGTTGGTTTTGTGTTTCCACTTTGTGCGAAGTGGAAACATGTTGATTTTATATTCACACAGAGACTGTGTCAAAATGTTCAATATTTTTAAATATCATACAGGCATCAAAAATTATTTTCAGAATAACTTGTCCTGCAGCTCAAGTAGCTTCTACAGGCAACATTTTACTACTCGTCCAGCAGCGAGTTCTTTCAAATTCTACTCATAATTACAAGCTGACAATTTTCAATCTCTGACATGTTAGCATATATATCTTTAAATGATGATACATTTATATGTAGGGGGAAAAAAACGTTACTTCTTCCGTAACAACTTCAACTGTAATTCCCCTATTTTCAAACCAGAGACACTTATAGTCCTTAAACTCAAAACACTTAAGGTCCTTTAATTTCACCATCAGGGGAAAAAAACAACTTTTTACTTAAGCTAATTGGGTCAATGAGATTTCAAAATTACCAAAAATACTATAATTTCAATTTTACGAATTCCCCTTATTAAAATTGACTTACTTAGGTATATCCATTTTGAACTTTGCTAGAATGACTGACTTTGGGTATCTTGAACCGTATGTGTAGAAAAACGACTTACTTTTAGGGTTGACATATGTTGAACTTATATGACAGTGACTTATTCATATCAAATTAGGAAGCTAATAAATTATGTCTTGAAAAAATATCCTTTTACATTATTCTTGGTGTAAGTGTTCTTTTTTATCTTTATATCATAGTTTTGAGACTTTACTGTTGAAAACATGTCGGAGTTAAATCGTAATCCAATACAACTGGAGTGCACACTCACTGTCTGTCTAGAGTATGCTTGTTGATTGGCCAATTTTTTCTGGGGTTTACTTATTGTGACAATGTGACAACAGGTATCGCGTTTTTATTTTTGCCTATGATACAAAAGAGAAAGAAGAACATCAAAACACTCGGCTATCTGATTTTCTTTTTTTTTTTTTTTTGGGGGGGGGGGGGGGGGGGGGGGGGGGGGGGGGGGGGGGGGGGGGGGGGGGGGACATAGAAATAGTAGTAATCTTACTTTTGAGTATATCTATCTTGAACTAAATGCTGGTAGACACTATCCGGTACTTCTGTAACTCTGTAATACCACTTTACTCTCACAACCAATGTGTCCCTCTTTACCTGTAAATATATAATTTCTGTAATATATAATTTCTGTAATTAACTAGAAATATGTCCGTGCCCCACATTCCACTGTGCTGACAGTCTTTGGACAAACTAAGTGATGGGCGTGCAAGGGAAAATCTATATCCCCACCCTTCCCCTACAAGTGGGGGCATAAAAATCAGCAACATAAGATTTCTTTTAGTACATGATGAACCACAACATGGGTGCTTAGTCAATTTTTTACTAAATAATCAAAGACTCAAAGACTTACTGTCTTTTCTTCATTCTTATTTATGATAAAGTAAACAGACCCCTGATATAGTATGTAAGGAACATGTTACAGGAGTTAAGTTCACCAAATGATTTTTTGTGTAAAATATGAGCTCCATTATACTTTGTTTATGGATCATAGAACACCTTTATTCCAGACAAATATTACCTTTAAAATGTTTAGAAAATAACAAATATAACTTCTTGATGTTTAAATTCACCAATTAAGGGGACGTAACTAAAACATGTAAGCTGAAATAGTCTAATTATCTATATAACTTTATTAAACATATAAAAAGTGTAACAGTGAAAATTTCAATAACATGCAGATTTTGACAACTTAAAAAACAGTTTTAAACACTTAAGGTGTCAAACAGACAGGTTACCTGCCATCAACAAAACAACATAAATAACACAGAAACAATCATTTAACCCAGAACAAACAAAAGGCAAAAACTTTCCCTTCAAAATATTTCTCAGATCCTACAAAAAGAAATATTTGGTTTAAACTTCTTCAAATTATAAAATAATTGCTATCATATTTTATATTCAATAAGATTAAAAAATTTTGAGTAGATTGATATATTAGCCTTTTCAAAAAAGGAAGACACCAAAATTCTCAGCAAATATATAGCTTTATATATACACTTAATAGTTATAGTCTTCTTGGTTTGTTTTTTCACTGTTTTTGTTTTTTTTTTTGGGGGGGGGGGGGGGGGTGGAATATTACCATTTCAGAACATTATCCAACAACCCATTGAAATTGGGAATTTTAGCGAAGATGTTTTGGGAACAATGACAGAATTAGCAGGTGCCCTGCATTATGAATCACATCTGTATCATGGTAAAATGCATGTTTTAACGTTTAAGATTATCATAATCTTTTGTTTCATATACTTTGATTATCCTTGAAAAAAAGCATTTATTATCAGTTTTACTTTTTTCAGTAAAAAGGGAAGTTTTGTCAGAAACTAGAAGTGTGTCTGTACAACACAGACACACCTATATCCCACTGTTTTGTCAGTCTGTGAGCAGACTGTGAGACCCATGGACAAGGGCAAATCTATTTGCCCCTCGCCCTATTAAGTGGGGGCATAAAAAGGTTGCTTTTTTCAATTTCAATTATGAACCAATATTGGCTATAAAACTTGCGATAATACTGCCTTCTATATGGAAACCAAACCAGAAACACATAATTACACTTTGCATGTTCTTTAAAAAAAAAAGAAGGACATTATCAAATATAACAAAACATGTTTGGAAAACATTGTGCACATACTGTGATAAATGCATTAAAAACTACACTCGATTTTCATTTATTACATAAAATACTTGAAAATATATGCATTTAATGTCAGTTTGAGTGAACACCTTGTTGAAAACCCACTTGAAAACAATTTATACAGGCTCTTCAAGCAATTAAGGGTTTTACATATTATTTGTTCTACCTCCAAGAAAAACAAGCTCGTTTCAGTTTTCAAGAGCAATTTAGACAAAACTTTAATTCATAGCAGAGTGGCGTCCGAATATACTGCTGTTTTGTTGCTTGTTCCTGTTGGTAATAAATATTTAAATTATCTTTTTTTGAAAACATAATTTTTAAAGGTGCTTGCACACAGTTGGAGTGAAATTTACAATGTTCACTTTCACCTAATTTGTTTTAATGTTTATATAATATATTCATTTAAAATAAAACCAAAAAAAACACCAGTTTCACAGTCGGTAGCTTGTTAAATTTGTAAAAGTACATCGACTGTTAATCTTTTTTTATGTTATTATCTTGTTCCAAAACTTCTCTTTCTTCTTCTGTTTTTTTTTCCATATTTGCATAAATGTAACTTTAAACCTTTTCACTCCGATTGTTTGTAAAAGTCATAAGCTGAAAACAATTCTTCAATGATCTTTTCTATGAATGCAGCTGCAAATTTTATATAAATTTAATGCGAAAAAAAAACATTTCAGGAGTATAATTATTACCATAATTAACAATCAATTTAAAATTGAAATCATGGCTTATAAGGACAGTATGAAAACTATCTGCTTTATAGTCATACTGAATTTTAAAAAAATAGGTAAAAAAACTTTGTAAATTTTGTATAAACACATTACTGCTTCGCTAACGAAATCAGACTACATATTTGATGCATGGTAACAAACTGGCGACATAGCACCCTGGTGGTAACAATACTTTAACCCTGTGTTAAATGAGCTGTAAATAATAATATTTATCTAAATTAATCTTCCTTTTAAAACACCTGTTTAATGTCAGTGATACAAAAAACGAAATTTATTTATCTACTTTTTATACATCTCAACTTTTTATGCATAACGATGAAAGACTTCAAAGATGTGTCTCCAAAATCTAGTCCATTCTCTTCTATTTATTCATATTAAAGTTAAATTAAAAATATTGTCAAAGTTTCTATTATTTCTATTGTTACTGTAAATTAATTTTTTTAAATATCAGAAGTATAATTGGTGTTCTTCTTTAACCTTTCACCAGCTGGAACCAAGAGTAATTTCCCATTGCTCAGGCCAGACTGCACCCATGACTTACTTTAAAAATTTTCATCAATCCCTGTAATTGATAATGGATATTTCCAGAACTGGTCAACCTCTCTGAAGAATTTCAGCAGTGAAGACCTTTGTCAGAATTAAATCGTATACCCATACATGCACAGTGCATGAACTGAGTGCAGGTATTAGTTACCTACAATGCCTGTCAGGGATAACAAAGAGCATGATCATTGATTGGCTAATTTTTTTCTGGGGTTTACTTATTATAACTACAAGGATAAAACAAATCATATTCATTCAGATGCTTGTTCATTTATTCTGGGGTTTCATATTGTGACAACAGGGAACGTGTTTTTATTTTTGCCTATGATACAAAAGATTATGATGATGAAAACACTTCGCGATATGATTTATACTCGAGGGCTATGCCTCCTCATACAAATCAGATAGCCTTGTTTAAACAATGCTTTTCTATAACATATAAGCTCAAGTTTTTATGACACACTTGCCATATTTAGCTCAATATCCAGGCGTGTAATAGTCTACTTGATCAATCTAAATACATATCATAGGCATCAAGCTCGTTTTTTGACAAAACCAAGCGCGCAAAGACACCCGATATATTAACAGCATTTCAAAAGATAATATCTACTTTTAATGCATATATTTTTTCCCCTTTAAACTATTACCTAGGCGATAATAAAACAAGCCTACCTGTCGAGAAAACAGCACTCGCCTTAAATGTCAACTCCTTATGTGTTTCATAATAAAAGTAATCCGTTAAGTTCATGAAACCGGAGGAGAAGAAAAAAAACGACGTAACAACAAACTTTCAAGCCAGTATACGTCTGTATACTTGTGTTAACAAATTTGATACATTGTTTATTAGAAAACTTCACTTGTACGCTATTACGAAATGCTTTAAAGAAGATGATATATTACGATGTTGATTTACGGCCGACATGAGACGGGCCAACATACTAACTGATAAAGCTATATCTTACGCGTAGAAACAGATTAAGTACAATATAAGCTTGTGTATACCTCATCATGACGATGTGATAATACCTCATTCATTTCTCAAGAGCAATTTGATTTATGTCAATTACAGAATATTTTACAATTTTTTTTTCAATATCATTTTAAAAGGGCGAATACAGTTTTTTTTTATCTGAGTAGTTTTTACCTTTAATATTACCAAATTTCTTTAAAACGGCGAATGCAGGAAGGCGAATGCAGGACTTTTTTCATCCGAATAATTTTCTTTTCTCTTATCATCATTAATCTTTAATCTTTCACAATACTTTGCATTTTTCTGGTAATAATTTTCTTATTCCAGGATTGAAAACATCATGAAAATAGAACATGGACAAGAGAGGGTAAAATTTACCCATATTTGATATTTTTCCAGTATTCTCCATTAACCAGGTATGAGTCAAACCTGTTGTGAAGAATATATCTCTATTAACTTAATAAAGGCACCTGAAGCTAGTGTCAGTGAAAAAAACAACAACATATAAATGACTGCACAGGTATGGCTCTAAATTTGTCTTAAAAATTTCATGTTTACTTCCACTTTAAAAAAAATTAATAGAGGAAACTCTGAAAGAATGCCTTACACAGCAAATATGAAAATCTGAATAAATCTGTACATGGACGTTAGTGGTCAATGCAAGCTATTGTATGCCTCCCCCCCACCCCCGGCAGCCCCTATCCCAAAAAGCACTGACCCTAACAAAAATCAGCACTTAAGTATGAAAATGGTGAAATTGTGAAAACAAGATATGTTTGTAAAACATGTATGCCCCCTGTCAGCAGCCAATTAGTCATGTGATAAGGTTATTATGCATGACTTCTGACCCAGTGATCAAACAATTAATAAGGGTTATAAAGTATCTACTGGTCATGACCTTGACCTTTGACCTCTTGACCCAAAACTCAATAGGGGTCATCTGCTGGTCACAACCAATCATCATACAAAGTTTGAAGTTCCTAGGCCTAGGCGTTTTTAGTAAATTGATCAGAAACCGTTTTTACCTACAAGGTCAATGTGACCTTGACCTTTGACCCCTTGACCCCAAAATCAATAGGGGTCATCTGCTGGTCATGACCAATCACCATGCCTAGGTTGAAGTTCCTAGGCCTAAGGGTTCTCTTATTATTGATCGGAAACCGTTTTTTTACATACAAGGTCAATGTGACCTTGACCTTTGACCCCAAAATCAATAGGGGTCATCTGCTGGTCATGACCAATCACCATGCAAGTTTGAAGTTCCTAGGCCGAAGCGTTCTTTTAGTTATTGATCAGAAACCGTTTTTACTTACAAGGTCATTGTGACCTTGACCTTTGACCCCTTAATCCCAAAATCAATAGGAGTAATCTGCTGGTCATGACAAATCACCATACCAAGTTTGAAGTTCCTAGGCCTAAGTGTTCTTGAGTTATTGATCAGAAACCGTTTTTACTTAAAAGGTCAATGTGACCTTGACCTTTGACCCCTTCACCTAAAACTCAATAGGGGTCATCTGCTGGTCATGACCAATCATCACACAAAGGTTGAAGTTCCTAGGCCTAAGCGTTTTTAGTTAATTGATCGGAAACCATTTTTACCTACAAGGTCAATGTGACCTTGACCTTTGACCCCTTGACCCCAAAATCAATAGGTCATCTGCTGGTCATGACCAATCACCATACCAAGTTTGAAGTTCCTAGGCATAAGGGTTCTTAAGTTATTGATCGGAAAGCATTTTTACCTACAAGGTCAATGTGACCTTGCCCTTTACAGTGTCTATTCTAGGAATTCAAAACTAGGGGTGATTTTCCCCCCTCTATTTCAAACAAGAGGGCCATGATGGCCCTAGATCGCTCACCTGAATTATCAAACTCATCCAAACAATTACCTAGACAAGCATTCTGACCAAGTCTCATGACAGGTGAGTCAAAAATGTGACCACTACAGTGTTAACAAGGATTATCCATATTTGAGCAGTGCGACCTAGTTTTTTACCCAGGTGACACATATTCAAACTTGACCTAGAAATCATCAAAACAAACTTTCAGACCAATTTCCAGGATACTTGGATCAAAATAGTAGCAACTAGAGTGTTAACAAGATTTTTCTATTTTTAGCTCCGGTGACCTAGTTTCACATGCGATTTCGAACTCATCCAAGCAATTACCTAGACAAACATCCTGACCAAGTTTGATGATAATTGAGTCGAAAATGTGACCACTAGAATGTTAACAAGGTTTTTCCATATTTGGGCGGTGTGACCTAGTTTTTCATCCAAGATGACCCATGTTCGATCTTGACTTAGAAATCATCAAAACAAACTTTCAGACCAATTAACAGAATATTTGGATCACAACAGTAGCCACTAGAGTGTTAACAAGATTTTTTCTATTTTTAGCTCCTGTGACCTAGTTTTTCATCCGAAATGTCCCATGTTCGATTTATTCCCAGCAATGACCTAGACAAGTTTCCTGACCAAGTTTGATGACAATTGAGTTCAAAATTGTGACCACTAGAGTGTTAACAAGGTTTTTTCTATTTTTAGCTCCTGTGACCTAGTTTTTCATCCGAGATGACCCATGTTCGAACTCATCCGAGCTATCACCTAGACAAGCATCTTGATCAAGTTTGATGATGATTGATGCAAAAATGTGACCGCTAAAGTGTTAACAAGGTTTTTCTATTTTTAGCTCTGGTGACCTACTTTTTCATCCGAGATGACCCATGTTCGAACTCATCCAAGCTATCAACTAGATAAGCATCCTGACCAAGTTTGATGATGATTGATGCAAAAATGTGACCACTAGAGTGTTCACAAGGTTTTTTCTATTTATAGCTCCGGTGACCTAGTTTTTCATCCGAGATGACCCATATTCGAACTCATCCGAGCTATTATCTAAACAAGCATCCTGACAAAGTTTGATGATGATTGGGTCAAAAATGTGACCACTAGAGTGTTCACAAGGTTTTTCTATTTTTAGCTCCTGTGACCTAGTTTTTCATCAGAGATGACCCATGTTCGAACTCATCCAAGCAATTGACTAGACAAGCATTCTGACCAAGTTTTGATGATGATTGGTTCAAAAATGTGACCACTAGAGTGTTCACAAGGTTTTTCTATTTATAGCTCCTGTGACCTACTTTTTCATCCGAGATGACCCATGTTCGAACTCATCCAAGCTATCACCTAGACAAACATCCTGACCAAGTTTGATGATGATTGGGTCAAAAATGTGACCTCTAGAGTGTTCACAAGGTTTTTCTATTTTTAGCTCTTGTGACCTAGTTTTTCATCCGAGATGACCCATGTTCGAACTCATCCGAGCTTTCAACTAGATAAGCATCCTGACCAAGTTTGATGATGATTGAGGCAAAAATGCGACCGCTAGAGTGTTCACAAGTAATTGTGGACGGCCGGACGGACGACGGACGACGGACGACGGACGACGGACATTCACCGATCCTAAAAGCTCACCCTGAGCAAGCTCAGGTGAGCTAAAAAGGGGGTGATTTTCAAAATCTAGGGGTGCCAATATAAACTGCCAATGTTAAATCGTCTGCATTAAGTTTACACTGAGGCGTTCAACCGATGAAATATTTAAAACGAAAATATTCAATTAAGGCAGCAGAAGTTGTCCTCCCTTAATTTATGAACGAAAACAAATTATTATAGAACTGTCACGATTGACTATCAAGGGATTGACAACACAAACAATCGACCTATCTTTTACGTCTAGATCGTAGCCAAGCTAGGATTTCTTGATTATTTACTACACTAAACTGGCGCCATACTGTCAGACCTAGCACACTAGTTCCGGTAGGTACGAAACATTCCGTTAATTTCCATCAACTCACGTAACCAGTACCAAACGGTACTAAATTATTATAATTAGCTTACAGTTACCTCCCTTCAGTTTCCGGTGTAAATGTAACAGAACAACCAAATAAAATGCGAGATGGAATTATGCTTGCTAGGGATCACTTTATTTCCAGAACTTTTTACAATTTTATTAACTTTTTTTAGATGCGCGATTTTCACTCACATGATTTTGAATTGTGCGCAATCTTTGAAATATTAGCGTGAATCGCGCAATCGCGCGTCCTAGAATAGACACTGCCTTTAACCCCTTAACCCCAAAATCATAGGGGTCATCTGCTGGTCATGACCAATCACCATACCAAGTTTGAAGTTCCTAGGCCTAAGGGTTCTTTAGTTATTGATCGGAAACCGTTTTTACCTAAGAGGTCAATGTGACCTTGACCTTTGACCCTTGACCCCAAAATCAATAGGGGTCATCTACTGATCATGACCAATCACCATCTCAAGTTTGAAGTCCCTAGGCCTAAGGGTTCTTTCATTATTGATCGGAAACCGTTTTTACCTACAAGGTCAATGTGACCTTGACCTTTGACCCTTAACCCCAAAATCAATAGGGGTCATCTGATTGGTCATAACCAATCACCATACCAAGTTTGAAGTTCCTAGGCCTTAAGGTTCTTTAGTTATTGATTGGAAACCGTTTTTACCTACAAGGTCAATGTGACCTTGACCTTTGACCCCTTGACCTCAAAATCAATAGGGGTCATCTACTGGTCATGACCAATCACCATACCAAGTTTGAAGTTCCTAGGCCTTAAGGTTCTTTAGTTATTGATCGGAAACCGTTTTTGCTTTCAAGGTCAATGTGACCTTGACCTTTGACCCCTTGACCCCAAAATCAATAGGGGTCATCTACTGATCATGACCAATCACCATACCAAGTTTTGAAGTTCCTAGGCCTTAAGGTTCTTTAGTTATTGATCGGAAACCGTTTTTTGCTTACAAGGTCAATGTGACCTTGACCTTTGACCCTTGACCCCAAAATCTATAGGGGTCATCTACTGATCATGACCAATCACCATACCAAGTTTGAAGTTCCTAGGCCTTAAGGTTCTTTAGTTATTGATCGGAAACCGTTTTTGCTTTCAAGGTCAATGTGACCTTGACCTTTGACCCCTTGACCCCAAAATCGATAGGGGTCATCTACTGGTCATGACCAATCACCATACCAAGTTTGAAGTTCCTAGGCCTTAAGGTTCTTTAGTTATTGATTGGAAACCGTTTTTGCTTTCAAGGTCAATGTGACCTTGACCTTTGACCCCTTGACCCCAAAATCAATAGGGGTCATCTACTGGTCATGACCAATCACCATACCAAGATTGAAAGTCCTAGGCCTAAGGGTTCTTTAGTTATCACTCGGAAACCATTTGGTCTACGGACCGACGGACCGACAGACCGACGGACCGACAAGTGCAAAGCAATATACCCCCTTTTCTTCGAAATGGGGGCATAATAACATCCACTAATATATTCATGCACTTTTCATGGAACCTTCAATGCATTATTTTCATCACATCTTTCATGAAAAGTGGCGTCTTGTCCCTTAATGAGAAGAAGGCTACAGTTTGCAGGCTACACAATCAAGCTAGTGTTTATACATGCAAAAATAGACAAGAGAAAACTTACCACACTGAAATCCTGTATCGCACAGATGAAGTATGCGTTGTTTTGTCTGTTATTTTCTATGTAAACATGATCTGAAATACATCATAGAAACATATACATTATAACAGCATTAACAGGTCTAATAAAATAGCAAATTTTGTATAATTTATATACCAGATAAAGCTAATGTAACTTACATGGTTTTTGTGTAAATAAGTAATGAGCCTAGAAATAAGGTAATTTCTTTAAACATTGTTGCTTGACTTGTAGAGTCAGCAGTCATATAACAAATTGATTTAAAAAAAATGCTTAAATTAGAGTAATTTTCTATTAAGCATATCTTCAACCCTTTCCACCCTAAATAAGTAAAACAGACTTGTCCATCTTTCATTCAAGATAAAACCATTCATCATTTTTACTGGAAATCTTCAAAACTTGTATCAATTGACTGTATGGGAAACAGTGCTGACCATGATTAGTGGGACATACAGACAATCTTTGTCACAAGAATCAGTTTGCTTACAAAAACAACAATTTTGCCAAGGGTCAAGGGGGTTATTTTATCCTGCTACTGTCAATATCATCAGCCGGATAAAGCCTTGCTGGATAAACTTTTCTTGCATAACAGACTGGCATTTCCGTTAGTTTTACCCATGCCGGAAATTTCATCTGGCATGGGGGGTTCCAGATGAGTCGCGTGCTGTACAATGGCACGATAAAGATGACGTCATTTTACCGTTATGAATGATTTTGTAATTCATACGCTGTTGAATGAAAGTAGTTACGGTTGTAATGATATAAATTTTCATTGAAAATAAAGATAAAGAATTTAAAATATAATGGAATATGGTAGAATATGCAAGAAAAAATATCTGACATATGTTTGCGGTTCAGATCAGAATATCCGTCCCTCGGTCACCCGCCCATGGGCGGTAACTCGGCAAGCCTCGTTACCGCCCAATGGGCGGGTCACCTCGGGACGGATATTCCGATCCGAACCGCAAAATATGACAGATATTATTAATCTATCTCCAGTCAGTACGTCATATGATGACGTCAACTGTTTAGCAGAAAAACAAAACTTCATAGAGATGCTATTTTATCGGGGAAAAGTAAGAATAAAACCATTTAATTAGTCTAAAAACATAATTAAAAGCAGGATAAATCAAATACATGGTTGATGTCAGAATGGAGAAGCTCGCCAAGATACACTTTCTCCCTCACCGGATAAACCTTCTCCATCCCGACATCTACACATGTACCATGTGTTCTCTATTTAATCTATGGACTGAAAATACAATCAATTTTAAAAGCATTTCAACCTATGATATGGATTACTGATCTGTTAATTATGAAAACCATGTTTTTATTTGCAGTCAAATTAACACTTAAAGTCAAAGCAATTCAGATGCCCTGCCTATATTTCATATTTCAGGCACAAATAGGCACCAGAGTAGACACAACCAACTTTCCATGAGATAGTTGAATAACTCAGATGCCTTGCCTATATTTCAGGCACAAACAGGCACCGGAGCAGGCACATCAACATTTCATGAAGAGCTAGCTGGACAGCTTCCTCACATGAAATAATCTTAAGTCCCTCCCTGGCAGGATTTGAACTCACAGAAGTCAGGGACAAATTTATTATAATTTCAAATAACTCAATGTAACCACTACTTGACAAAGTCAGTCGCTGAACCATTTTATGAGCCAAAAACATGTACATATATAGTCTAATAAAATAGCACTGAATGTGCATCATTACACATTGACATTTCCATAAAGCTATATTGATCATCAATCAATAACAATACATTGTAATTTGTAAATACAGTTTACCATTACTTTATACCAGATGTTTTACACACGAATAAACTTTTTTTTCATGTGTAAACAGCTGCTAAAATATATTTTCTGGATGAAATTGAAAATTACTCTTATGTTCTATATTATTATACTTATGGTCACAGTTGTTTTAATGAAACAAATAATTTCTTCCTACATTTGTAACTGGATAGTGAAAATTGCTTCTTGTAATACCTTTTTTGTTGATGTTCTTTTTAGGGATATTTGTGTATCTTTGTAACATTTAAAAACTATTTCAAATCCTATCCAAATGCGTGTGATAATAATTTCAAAATTACTTTAATTGATGTTCAAATGTGTGTAGTAAAGGTGTATATAAATTCCTGCGTTAATACATCAAAATATTTTATACAAGAGCTGTCCGTAAGACAGCGCGCTCGACTTTTTTATTGCTTGCCAATAAAAAAAGTTTTTGCAGTAAAAGGCAATACAAGAATCTCTGTATTTTTAAAGTGAACTAGTTGTTTGATACCCTTGAATATTACAGCAATGTTTATATGACATAATTTATGGTAAAGTGAACAAGTGGATAGGAATGAATTTTTTTAGATTTTTTAAGTTTTTTAGTGCTTGCCTATAATACAAAACATTGACAGTTAAGGGCCATAATTCAAATAAAATCTTTGACAGAATTACCTTCTCCTGGACATGTTTTGGGAATCATGATTGTAAACAAGTATTCCAACTTTCAAATTAATATCTCAAACAGTTCAGTCAAAAAGTGGACTGGTACTAAAAACTTAACCAAGATTCTAAGTCGATAAAAGGCCTTAATTTTTTAAAACAAATCCTTGACAGAGTTACCTTCTCTTGCGTACAGATGGGGGTAATGATGTGAAATAGCATTAAAAGTTTCAAAGCAATATCTCAAAGGGTTTTAAGGCAATAAGTGGATTTTTACCCATATTCAATGTATTTTCTAAGTCAAAAAGGGGCATAATTCTGTCAAAAACCTTGACAGAGTTATGTCTCTATTGTCTGTTGATGAAGGTCGTGATGGTAAACAAGTATGGTCAGTTTCAAAGCAATACCTCCAATGGTTTTGAAATAAAGTGAGGTGGTACAAAAAACTTAACCAAGCTCAATACACTTTCTAAGTCAAAAAAGGGCCATAATTCTGTCAAAAACCTTGACAGAGTTATGTACTCTTGTCTGTAGATGGAGGTTATGATGGTGAACAAGTATGGTAAGTTTCAAAGCCATACTTGTAATACTTCTGAAATAAAGTGGGGTGGTACGAAAAACTTAACCAAGGTGTGACGCCAACGCCGACGCCGACGCCGGGGCGAGTAGGATAGCTCCCCTTTTCATAGAAAAGTCGAGCTAAAAATGACTAATAATTTTGAGGTTTTTTTTATCTGTTTACATGAACTTAAGCACACTGACTTTTTACAATTTCCCCCTAAAAAATTCACCACACTTACACCTGTATATACATTTTTGTAAGGCAATTGTAACCCCCATTTCCATAGTCATCCCCTCTCCAACAGGGGCAATGCAGAAAGATAATGGAAGACATTAACCAACTCGGAGTTTCTGTTATTCTAATTTTTCATTGACTGAGTTTCTTAAATGGAATTGTCCAGCTTCTATTTTTGAAACTGTCCATTATCACTGTCCATTTCAGGGGATTCTATTTTTAGAACTGTCCATTATGATTTTTAGGGATATCAAGATGAAAATTTGAAGTTGGTCAGCAAACAATATTAAACTTATCAACTTAAACTTTGTTATATGGCAGAGCTTTATAGTGGTGGCAATGCCTTATTTATGTATCTTTCATTCCCAGCAAGGTTGAAGCATAAGTTCTAGAACTATACACTACTTTTAACAAATCATAATTTCAGGAGCAGGTACATCTCTTCAAATTCATTTTTTATCACAACTACATATTTTCATGTTTTTATTATATATAATTAACGACCAGGTTGTCACGATATAACACCATAATTTACCAGTATATCAGAAAATATAATATTAAAAGAAACCCGATTCCCTGTGGATGGAAAACTCTCTTTTCATATTGTGATTTGATAGCAGATTTGTTATAGAATTATCCTCTCCATTTTAATTGATCGGTGTTGCATTCAATTTTAATATAAATTGAGCCGCGCCATGACAAAACCAACATAATGGGTTTGCGACCAGCATGGATCCAGACCAGCCTGCGCATCTGCGCAGTCTGATCAGGATCCATGCTATTCGCTTACAAACCCTATTACAAGTAGAGAAACTGATAGCGAATAGCATGGATCCTGATCAGACTGCGCGGACTGGTCTGGATCCATGCTGGTCACAAACGCATTATGTTGGTTTTGTCATGACACGGCTCAATTTACCATTTTTTATACCCTACAGACAGTTTACATATCATTTTTTTAACAATTACTTGGAACACATATCTTTGGGGAAAAAATTAAAACAAGAGGGCCATGATGGCCCTGAGGTCGCTCACCTGTATATAGGCCCCCCAACGTTGCAGGGCCAATTTAACCCAAGGGCTTTTAAACTCGGTAGACACCCATAAGAAGATGTTTCATGCTAAACATCTAAGCTCTAGCTCATTGGGCTTTTTGAAAGAAGATTTTTTTAAAGTTTTTACTATACACATATAGTTAAAAACAATGACACCCCTGGGGCCGGGTCAGTTTTGACCCCAGGGCTTTTATTTAAACAAACTTTGTAGACACTTACTAGAAGATGTTTCATGCTTAATATCTAAACTCTAGCTATTTGGGTTTTTTCAAAGAAGATTTTTTAGTTTTTGCTATACAAATATAAAGAAAATCAATGACCCCTGGGGCGGGGCCAATTTTGACCCCAGGTCTTTTATTTGAACAAACTTTGTAAACTGTGACTCACTAAAAGATGTTTCATGCTTAATATCTTAACTCTAGCTATTTGGGTTTTTTCAAAGAAGATTTTTTAAGTTTTTAATATATGCATATAGGGAAAATCAATGATCCCCCTGGGCGGGGCCAATTTTGACCCCAGGGCTTTTATTTGAACAAACTTGGTAGACACCCATTAGAACATGTTTCATGCTAAATATCTTAGCTTTAACTCTTTTGGTTCTTTAAAAGAAGATTTTTTAAGTTTTTACTATATGCATATAGGGAAAATCAATGACCCCCTTGGGTGGGGCCAATTTTGACCCCAGGGCTTTTATTTGAACAAACTTGGTAGACACCTATTAGAACATGTTTGATGCTCAATATCTTAGCCATAGCTCTTTGAGTTCTTTAAAAGACGATTTTTAAGTTTTTACTATATGCATATAGGGAAAATCAATGACCCCCTGGGGCGGGGCTAATTTTGACCCCAGGGCTTTTATTTGAACAAACTTGGTAGACACCCATTAAAACTTGTTTCATGCTAAATATCTTAGCTGTAGCTCTTTTGGTTCTTTAAAAGAAGATTTCTTAAGTTTTTACTATATGCATATAGGAAAAATCAATGACCCCCGGGGCGGGGCCAATTTTGACCCCAGGGCTTTTATTTGAACAAACTTGGTAGACACTTATTAGAACATGTTTCATGTTAAAAATCTTAGCTCTAGCTCTTTTGGTTCTTTAAAAGAAGATTTTTAAGTTTTTACTATATGCATATTGGGAAAATCAATGACCCCCCCGGGGCAGGGCCAATTTTGACCCCAGGGCTTTCATTTGAAGAAACTTGGTAGACACCCATTAGAACATGTTTCATGCTAAATATCTTAGCTCTAGCTCTTTTGGTTCTTTAAAAGAAGATTTTTTAAGTTTTTACTATATGTATATAGGGAAAATCAATGACCCCCGGGGCGGGGCCAATTTTGACCCCAGGGCTTTTATTTGAACAAACTTGGTAGACACTCACTAGAAGATGTTTCATGCCAAATATCTAAGCTCTAGCCCTTATGGTTTTTTAAAAGAAGATTTTTTAAGTTTTTACTATATGTATATATGGAAAATCAATGACCCCCCGGGGCGTGGCCAATTTTGACCCAAGGGCTTTTATTTAAACAAACTTGGTAGACACCTTTAAGAACATGTTTGATGCTAAATATCTTAGCCATAGCTCTTTGAGTTCTTTAAAAGTAGATTTTTTAAGTTTTTACTATATGCATATAGGGAAAATCAATGACCCCCCGGGGCGGGGCCAATTTTGACCCCAGGGCTTTTATTTGAACAAACTTGGTAGACACTCATTAGAACATGTTTCAGGCTAAATATCTTAGCTCTAGCTCTTTTGGTTCTTTAAAAAGAAGATTTTTTAAGTTTTTTACTATATGTATATAGGGAAAATCAATGACCCCCGGGGCGGGGCCAATTTTGACCCCAGGGCTTTTTATTTGAACAAACTTGGTAGACACTCACTAGAAGATGTTTCATGCCAAATATCTAAGCTCTAGCTCTTATGGTTTTTTAAAAGAAGATATTTAAAGTTTTTTTCTTTCGGTTGCCATGGCAACCAGAGTTCTGCATGGAATTAAATTCTTTGAACAATTTTTAAAGGTGACCACCAAAGGAACATTCCTGTGAAGTTTGGATGAAATTGGCTTAGTGGTTTATGAGGAGATGTCATTTAAAGTAAAAGTTTACGGACGGACGGACGGACGGACGGACGACGGACGGACGCCGGACGAAAAGCGATCACAAAAGCTCACCCTGTCACTTTGTGACAGGTGAGCTAAAAACAGAACGCTCCAGACTTTGTCATATGTTTAACTATAGAGAAAGTACACATGATCCTAGAAATTTCCTATATCACACCTTTACGTCCTTTTCTTATTTGGCTCCTGTCTGAACTTACTCTGAAGTGACAACGAAACATGTATACTTATACATGTTTTAAATGACAATCTATAATAGCTATTTGTGAGAGAAGCCTTAAAATATCACTTAGCCTTAAAATATCACTTTATAATAAGCCTAGAAATATCAATTAGCCTTAAAATATCACTTAATTAGCCTAGAAATATCAATTAGCCTTAAAATGTCACTTTATAATTAGCCTAGAAATATCAGTTAGCCTTAAAATATCACTTAATTAGCCTAGAAATATCAGTTAGCCTTAAAATATCACTTAATTAGCCTAGAAATATCAATTAGCCTTAAAATATCACCTAATTAGTCTTAAAATATCACTCAAAGTATCATTTTTATGAAATTCAGGCTAAACTTCAAAGAGCAACCACAATGTGTTCCTCACATCAAAGAATTTCAAATATTGGAAGGGAATAACCTGGATTTATAAGACAGGAGATGCAAAGCATATATAAAATATATCACAACAAAGGTAATATTTATGCTGCCTCGTTTTGTTAAGTTTATCTGCTATAATTCCTGATGTAAAATCCACGCATTGATCAACTTTCAATGAGATAAGAATAACATTCAATTATCCGAAACTCTGAAAATGTGGGTTTTCCTAACCTAATACTTGGGTACAAACAGCCTTTTACTGTTATAGCTTAACGGTGCACTTCCTGCCACAATAAATTTGTCAACCTGTTGTGCATGTTTTCGAAGCTGTTCTGTAACAGTTTGTTTGTACCTATGGATAAGCGGTGAAAAACCTAACATATTCTTAATACCGGAGTAAGGCTATTAATAACAAAGTCCCTTGTAAACAAAGTCTTGTAAATGTTAATTATGGTAATGTTACCAATTCAAGGAAACTAACTGGTCTATAATAGAAATTAACAAAATAAGCTAATTTACTTCTGAAATAATCTAGTTAAAGAAGTTTTTAAAGCACGGAATATATTTGTGTACATATTATTGAAATACTAACCATTTGGTGAGTAAGTAATGCCTCTTTCTGTTGTGAATGATGTAATTTTATCTCCTTTCATGGTAAGTGACCCTGATGACCTTCCTCTACGACCTTTCCGTTTGACCTTGACCCCAAGGCCGTCTTTATTTTCCTTCTCAGCATTTTCTTTGCTATTAACAGAGGACGGCCTCTCAGTCTTTTTACTCTCACAAGGTTCAGTCTGCAATCATAAAAGTAAAGTTATACTTATCAATAAATTAATAACTGAGATAATGGATATTTAACTATTAGATATAAGCTATATCACTCATAGTCATATTCAAATAACCCACTAAATAACCTTTTTCAGAAGAGGAGAAACCTTCCAGCAAGCAAGCCCTCATCTGGAGCCATTATTTAATTTATTATTCAATAGTCAATTCATTTATAACTTACTGCATAGCAACGCTCATTTCATTTGTAAATTTGTTTTCTTGTTGCAACTATATTATAATGGTCATATGGTGACTTTACAGGTGGAAGAAGACCCCTGTTATAATGCAGTGCAAGGCACCTAAACTATTAAAACCACTGACCTTCCATAAAATAGCTGGATATCTTTTTCACCTGATGGGATTCAAACCCGCAGCAGTGTGGGGAAAGTGATTTGAAGTCAGCGACCTTAAACTGTGCTACATCAACAAATCAGCAACAAAAATATCCACAGTCAAACAGAAATAGGTTACACCGTGTTTGATCAATGATTATGGTAGTTTTGTCCTCATTTCTTTTACATTATACAGAATTTACATGGAAATGATAATATTATATTATTGTTATAATGAGGGATATCATAAGGTATGCATAAATCCACCAAGTTACATCCTAGCAGTGATCTTCCTTCTTATATAACAGACTCCTATAAAAGACCTCTTCCCAATTGCAATTTTCTTTACAATCATACAGTTTTCCTAAAAATCTGAACTTACATCAGCTTATTTACTTCCAAAATTAGTTATTTAAGTGTTATTTTTTCGCAAAATCAAGAGGCTAAGGCCTCTTCCCAATTAAATGAGAAAAACACATTGTTAGTATAAAAGTTGCAAGTTTCCCAATTTTTAACAAAACATCACTGAAATTCCCAATTCCATGGGTATGGGTCATTTTCCCAAAATCTTGGGGGGAAAACCTAAAAAGTTTTAAGTACCTTTATATTTTGGTCATCTGAATGTGAAGGTTGTTCATCTAGACTGTCAGATTCTACATCCATCTCTTTATTATATAAACAGATCACAAATAGTTCATCCTGAAAAACATCAGATAATAACATACAGTTCATAAATGCTACATTTCAGGTTATTAAAAATGTAATACTTCATAATTCTCAAATTTCATTATAAAGTAAAGTTTAATTATGATATCATTTATGTAACTATGTATGCAATTATCATTTATGTACATGTATGTGTATAATATATTATTGTCCTCTCACTAAAAATACACATCTTCATACTCAGGGCTCTCACATTTAATTAAACCTTCAGCCTGCTTGGCAGCAACAGATTTAACCCATGCAACCAGTGGCAGTTCCATCTAATCACGGTCTGTACTGAGTGCATATTTTGAAAATTTCACCAAAAAAAATGATAACTGGTTTTGTCTCATTTGAGAATGGGTCCGGGCTTATTTATTGTGAAATAAGTACTGTAAATTTGTGAAAATAGTGCTGATTATTGCAAAAAAGTTAAAATAATGTGTTAAAAAATGCCTAGATTGATAAAACGTAAAATAAAATACCGGTATTGGTTGTTTCCCCTCCTGCTATCTAGATTATAATTTTATCATTGTTATATCCACAATTAATAGGGTTAAGCAGGACTTCTTTATCATTGGGGTAATTTCACAACATTAAAGGGGTCAAATCATGCAGAGTTTGATATCATATTTATTAACCTAAGCTATGTTTATATTAATATTTCAGCAAGTGACAGAGACAATTTCTGATATATGAGTCACCTGTGGAGGATGAGTGATGAGTGAGCATTTAACCATTCCATTTAATACTTTTTTTATGGTCTTATCATAAATCTTAACTAATTAAAGGCAGAACTAATATCACTCAGGTAAATACTTGGTTAACTTCTGTGATTTCTGATAAAGGCCGGACAAGTTAAGCAAGGATACATTTATAAGTAACATATACAAGTACTTGTAAATAAGTTAAGCAATGCTAAGCAATGATTGCACTAACTTGATAATGTGCTAGCTCAAAAGAAGCTCCTACACAAATGTTACGTATAAAGTTGCTTTTTTGTAAATAAGGCACAGGTCAGTCATCTGTAATACTAAGAGTAAGAACAACATTTAGTCTATACTTTGAATGTAAGACCAGTAATGCCCTACAAAAAAGTCTCTTCATCCAATGCAAAAATTATACAATCTAATAATAAAATTCCTTTCCAACATTCCACCCCTCTAAAGTCCAGACTTAATGCTGGTAAAACTATACCCCTTGCTAAATTCTGTCCAAAAGTAATTTTATTTAAACCTCTGCACAATGCAGAGTGGAATATAAATGGAAGGAAAAAAGCTTGATGACCCCCGAAGAAAATGATTAACTAATAACTTTAACTATACAAAGAGCTGTCATTGATTCAGTGTGAAGCATATTAACGACATATTGATATCTGATGACAAACATCAAAAATACACCAATTATATCAGTTAATTACAAAAAATAACTTGTCTGTCATTCACTTTCATACATGTTTTTCAAATGATTTCAGTAAAATACATGTTATGTTCATTGTCTTGTTTATAAATGCACATTGCATGAATTTTTTATTTTTTCCCTGTCACTGTCAGGCCATTTTTTTGTCATCACTGTTATCTACATATTTCCATTATGCAACAACAGCATAATAGCATAGTGTTTGACATGGACCCCTAGCTGCTTCTGTATAGGCCTATCATACTGTGTTATCAATGTATTTTCGTAATTTTGTGAATTTTAATTAATAAATTTGAGCTAATGGACTAGGTATGGATTATTGATGGACAGAAAAATATTGACGAAACATCATTATTGTTTCCATCGATAACAGATCTATACATGCATAATATAAATCTAAATAATTGGAGCCAGTATGAAAACAGTTTTTCTTGTCATTTAAAATTGAACAATATTAAGTTAAATTGCTACATTTTGCACAATAAAAAATTGTACTAGGGTCAAACTTTTTTCATGCGTTCCTCATAGAATTGCTACTAAAAACAACAATTTTCAATATTTAAAATAATTTAACTTCTCAGAATCTCACAAGAGTAACGTCCCTTGGTCATTAAAAAACATTTTTTTCTTCATTATTTACGATGGTTAAATATCGAATTTTGCTTCCCATACTTTAATTGACTGATTACCTAACAGATTGTCATCAAACTTAAAAATAAGAAAAAAATATTTAATGTTTTGAATTTAAAAAAAAAATGAGATATCTAATCTGTCATTCGCCGGCGAATTTTCTAAACTGAAATTCTTTTGTTCAAAACCCCGGAAAATTATGGCGAATTCTACAATATGCAGCAGAATCGGCTATCCCTTTTCAGCTGAAACAATGGACAAAATATGAAATTACACATGTACAAAACATAATTGACTTACATGCAGTGTATATGCAAAAAATCACATGTCAAATTTTGAGATAAAATTTGTCAACTTTCCAAAATCCGCCATGTGCCCTTCCTTTAACTCCGCCCATTTTACATCGACCAATCAAAGCACGCCATTGATCAACTTGCCTTCCGTTTAAAGGGAGGTAAAGCAATGTATCATAAGAATCAAATCTTCCGGTACAAGTTACTTTCCCTGATTGATATCTACAAGAGAAACAAATGCATACTATGGAAAGCCATGACTGTCTGATATTGTTCTTTTTCAATTTATGTAACCATTTGGATAATATATGAGTTCACTTCGACTATATATGAATTGAAAACACCTTCTTATTCAACCGGAATCCATTGTATTAATCCACAGTTACAATATATGAAACCATACCGTCAGTGTATGAAACCGAGTTAGCAATATATAAGTCGATTTTCTCAATATATGATTCCAATTCTTCAATATATATTACCAAAGTAGCCATGTATGTAACCAGATGTCCTTATATGAAACCGAATTATCAATATATTAATTCATTTTTCAATATATGAAACCAATGTATCAATTTATGAAACCAAAGTAGAAATATATAAGTTGGTTATTACATTATATGATACCAATTCTTCAATATATGGTACCAAAGTAGCCATATATGGAACCAGATGTCCTGATATGAAACCGAATTATCAATATATTAGTTCATTTTTACAATATATGAACCAATTTATCAATGTATGGAACCAAAGTAGCAATATATGAGTTGGTTATTACATTATATGATACCAATTCTTCAATATATGGTACCAAAATAGCCATATATGGAACCAGATGTCCTTATATGAAACCGAATTATCAATATATTAATTCATTTTTACAATATATGAAACCAATTTATCAATGTATGGAACCAAAGTAGCAATATATGACTTGATTATCACTTTATATGATACCAGTTCTTCAATATATGGTACCAAAGAAGCCATATATGGAACCAGATGCCAAAATTATCAATATATTAATTCATTTTTACAATATATGAAACCATTTTATCAATGTATGGAACCAAAGTAGCAGCTAGTATATAAGTTGATGTTACATTCTATGATAGCAATTTTCATTATATGGAACCAAAATAGCCTATTTTCAAGTCAACAATTTAAAGGCCGAGGTCACTGGGTTCTGTTATTACAATGCATACACTTTTTCATGAAATCAATTATTATTTGACTGAATATTAAACTTTGTGAGGTAGAATAACCTTGATATGTCCTACTGGCCATGCCTAATTTTTAATCAAAGTAAAGGTCGAGATGAACTTATTTTTTAAATATGTTTTTGTTAATGGTCAGTACGACTCAATAGCTAAATTATGACATACAACTCCTACAAATATAACGATACGTTTGCCTGCCCAGCCCATTTTAAGTGAATGTGACGTTAAATTCAAATATTTCCTTATTCAGAAAATGTGCAGTATGCAGTCAGTGAAGCACGCTGTTCTTTAAACAAGGAATATTGGCGCGAAACTGTAAATACCGGTGCAAGGATAAAATACAGCCTTTAAAAAAAGTCCCGTCAATATAATGACATTTTGGTTCAATATATTGCTACTTTGGTATCATATATTGAAGAACTGGTATCATATAATGTGAAAATCAACTCATATATTGCTACTTCGGTTACATATATTGATAAACTGGTTTCATATATTGTAAAAATTGATTTAATATATTAATAATTTGGTTTCATATAAGGGCATCTGGTTCCATACATGACTTACTTGGATCCATATATTGAAGATCTGGTATCATATAATGTGATAATCAACTATATATTGATACTCCGGCTCCATACATTGATAAAATGGTTTCATATATTGTTAAAAATGAATTAATATATTGATAATTTGGTTTCATATAAGGACACCTGGTTCCATACATTGTTACTTTGGTTCCATATATTGAATAATTGGTATCATATATTGTAATAACCAACTCATATATTGATACTTTGGTTCCATACATTTGATAAAATGGTTTCATATATTGTAAAAATGAATTAATATATTGATAATTTGGTTTCATATAAGGACACCTGGTTCCATACATTGTTACTTTGGTTCCATTATATTGAATAATTGGTATCATATATTGTAATAACCAACTCATATATTGATACTTTGGTTCCATACATTGATAAAATGGTTTCATATATTGTCAGAGACATAGATTAACATCTAAGTCTCTGATATTGTAAAAATGAATTAATATATTGATAATTTGGTTTCATATAAGGACACCTGGTTTCCATATATTGTTACTTTGGTTCCATATATTGAATATTGGTATCATCATATATTGTAAATAACCAACTCATATATTGCTTACTTTTGGTTCCATTACTTGATAAAATGGTTTCATATATTGTAAAAAATGAATAAATATATTGATAATTGGTTTTCATATAAGGACACCTGGTTTCATACATTGCTACTTTGGTTCCATATACAAATGTATTGAATAATTGGTATAACCAATTCATATATTGATACTTTGGTTCCATTCATTGATAAAATGGTTTCATATATTGTAAAAATGAATTAATATATTGATAATTCGGTTTCATATAAGGACATCTGGTTCCATACATGGCTACTTTGGTACCATATATTGAAGAATTGGAATCATATATTGAGAAAATCAACTTATATATTGCTAACTCGGTTTTCATACACTGACAGTATGGTTTCATATATTGTAACTGTGGATTAATATAATGGATTCCGGTTAAATAAGAAGGTGTTTTATATTCATATGTAGTTGAAGTGAACTCATATATTATCCAGATGGTTAAATAAATTGAAAAAGAACAATATCAGACAGCCATGGCTTTCCATAGCATACTGTTACAATTTTATCCTGCTACTGTCTATATCATCAGCTGGATAAAGCCTTGCCGGATAAACTTTTCTTGCATCCCAGACAGGATTATCTACCGTTTACACCGGTGCTAGAAAACTCTGTCTTACACCCCCCATGTAAGACAAGTCTCGTGCTGTAAATGACGTCATTGACGCGCGCCTTTTATGAATGAATCGTGTTTCTTATGATGACGTCATTTTTCCGTTATGAATGAAGTTGTAATGTTCATACGCTACTATAAGAAAAAAGTGCGTAATGAGAATATCAGTTTTCATAAAATTCTGTTCCGAAAAATAAATTGACATGTAATATGCAAGAAAAAGAATCAAACACCGGCTGTTGGTACAGACTGGAATATCTAGCTCTCGGGTAACTGTTTAGCGGAAACTCGGCAGAGCCTCGTTACCGCTGTAAACAGTTACCCTCGAGCTAGATATTCCGGTCTGTACCGGCAGCCGGTGTAAGATTCTTATAATCTATCTCCAGTCATTACGTCACATGATGACGTCACATGTTTAGCAGCACAACAAAACTACATTTAGATGCTATTTTATCGGGGAAAAGTAAGAATTTAACCATTTAATTATTCTAAAAACATGATAAAAAGCAGGATAAATCAAATACATGGTTAATGTCGGGATGGAGAAGATTTATCCGGTTCGCTGCGAAAGTGAATCTTGGCTCGCTAAAGCTCGCCAAGATACACTTTCTCGCTCACCGGATAAACCTTCTCCATCCCGACATCAACCATGTATTTTCTATATACATTCTTCCACAGTTTTTCCTAACATTACGTGTTGCTTAAAAGGTATTAAAAAGAAGAAAGACCCTGAAATATATTTAACAAAATCAGATAATTTGTCGACGAACACTCAAGTCGACTTGCGTACTCGCAGCTGAACAAGTCACAAAGAAGGCGAAAACTATGATCAGCTCCAGAGAATTGATGGGTTTGTTGTTTTTTTAAATAGAACTGGGATGTACTATATCGTATGTTCAAGAATAGAAAAATGGTATTTTTATTCAAGATTTTTATTTTATGATGAATATTATTAGTATCCATTTCTTATGTAGGGTATTTATCCATAGTCGTAGATGCCTGCTTAACTTCATTGTTCTTCAGCACTAGTATAAAAGGAACGTGGCCTCATTGGAACTTACTACATGTATGTAGTTCATACGAGATACACATGCGAATTTCGTGAATTTCATGAACATATAAAGTCGCTGGCGTTGCATAATACTCAGGTAATCAGTAAGGCATACCCGTGAATATCGTGCATTTTTCAAATAGTCATGTAGAAAACTTGTTAATAAAGGTAATATTTACTTTGTGGCCACTTAAGTCAAGGATCAATAATTGTATTGTGTTTTTGTTACTATTTTTATTCTTTTGCGCCATTCAGTGTTAAAGACACCGGTGCTAGGCGGCGCAAGAAACGGCACAATATTCATGTTCTTTCAAACTAAAGCTCGAGCTCTTGTAGGGTCACTACCATGCTTCAAACGATACCAGCACTGGTTCGTCGAGACAGTAGATTCGAGAATAGTTGAAATAAGTCACAAGCTAATAAGCCCTGTTTTGACAATCCATCTTAATCGGATCGAATTCTAACTAAGAATCGCACAAAAATCCTGACGACTCCAGCCAACAAAAGTGAAAATATTAAATATCTCACCTTTTGATTGCAACCAGCTGAGGCAATACAAATTAAAGGAACGCCACTGAGGTCCAAACGTCTTGATTTTCTTACATAGATGAGCTGGGGCACTTAATACACTTAATACAGAAAGATATGCAAAAGATAATTAAGAAATATAATCCGAAATATATTGAAAATCTTATTGTTTGCCCGATTTGATTGAAAATCGTTGTAACGCTTTTCAATTTTGGGTCATTTTCACATTAGGAATCATCGACTCTAATCCCTCGACCACGGAGGCGGTACGATGATGCACCTTTCATCAACACTAAAGAATTTGACTCAAAGGTCTTCCTCCACCAGTAAAGCTAAAAAGTCTCCGGGTTTGACTTGAAACTCAACAAATCATTATAATTATTTATTGGTATCTGCAAACATTTTATTTTCTTCATGAAAAAGAAAACCAATACCTCAATTCTTATGGAAGAAAGAAAACAATTTATGTCCTCAAACCTTCCTTTGCACTCAAAAGCAGTATTTGATTGATAATGAGAAGTCCACCAGAGATAAAGAATTGTTTTTGTTTTATTTTTAACATGATACCTCAAAATGCACGTGGACTTAATCATGATAAATAGTTACAAGTCTCCTAGTTTAGAAAGTTGATTTCCCCGAGTCTCCAAGGATTTTACAACCGAGTCTCGAAGGAAATTCGTGAATTTCTCTGGGTGTCCTTTATCTTAGACCATCCACAGTGTGTAAGATGATAAACGTCACAGTTTACAAGGACGAACACTCCTACAAATCAGGAATTTCGCATGAATGAACTTCTGAATGCTTTAAGGTTACACAAAATGTTTTACCCAAATTACTGTGTGCTTAAAGATGCTATACTATAAATTTATAAGTGGGAGATCATCGTTCAAGAAAGCGACCACAACTCAAATTTCATGTGACCCTTATTCATGTGATCAATGATTAAAACCACCATCTCAATTGTCTATGGTGCTTGTTTCAACAAAACTTACTCTCTTGAATCTTATTTTGATGTTACGGATGTCAACAGACCCATGCCCGATTCATTCCTACGCTACTGAAGAGTGACACAAAACTCTTTTCTTGGTCATTAGTTCTTTCTTGTCTATATAAATGACTTTCCGAGTATGTGTTAAAATCAAAGTTCCCCATCTGTGAAGAAAGAAGACCCCAGCCTCAGAAAACAAAACGACTTAACACGAGTAATGCTCCTGTGTTTACTCGACATTGGGTTGTGTTGGTCTTGATGTGAGAATCTCATGGCGTTTAACTTGAGACAAAGTAAATTGCATAGTGTTAAATATGAAAAACAAAATCAGCAAGGAAGGTCGGCATTGAATGAATGCATCCCCACAAAGGATCACGACAAGGAGCCCTGCAGGACAGCAAACAGGACAGGGTCAATAAATTATTTAGGAAAAGTCAATTTAATGGAACAGAAATATCCGAAGAAACAATTTTTATGTGAAAAGGGGCTTTTACTGAGTAATCTGGTGTACATGGAGAATTTTTAGAACCTCAACACAAGAAAGCGAGCCTGTATCTTAATTTATTTGCATAATATATATCACACAAATGTATAATTTATATAATAACATGAAATTCAATCATTAAAATGGCAATATAACTAACATGAATTGCACGAAAACTAATGTCTCAATCTCAAGTTCTCTGTACAATATATTAACATAAACACAAATTGCCAAGGTTTCTCTTAAAAGAAAGAAAGAAACAAAGATATTAAAAAGAAACAAATACAAACAAAAAACAAATACAAAAAAATCAACAACAAACAAACAAAAAGAAAACAAAGACAAAGACAATGGCTAAAGAACTATTTTTTATGAATCTCACAAAGTACTTTGTTTTTCAACTAACCCCCCAGAAAATGATATGTAATATGTCTCTTTCATTTGGCATATCTCTGACGGCTTGGTTGTATTCATCACCCAAACTGTTCCATCTTTGTCTAGACTCATAACAACAGCCACTGTCTTTGTTTCAAGGCTTCCAACAGTTTGTGCCATTTCTTTAACCATGGTTTCGTTTACTGGGTCACTTTTTTGTATAAAGCATATAGATGTTTTAAGTTTTTCAGCACTTGTCGTCGTCACAAAGAACACATATATGCCCTTGAAAGGGGCTGTAAATCTGCCGGTCCTTTTGTCATAGCTTTTGTCAATGTTCGAGTCAACTTTGTCAAAGATAATAGCGCGGTATGACATGACCTTTGACACACACTTAGAAAGATGAGCAGAAAACTGCAGTGTATATGTTGTAGGGACATATCGCTTGGCAGGCCTGGGTACAATTTCCTCGTCATCTGAAAATATATATAAAAATGATACAATATTGAAATTAACAAAATGAAATTTAAAGAGAGGAAAATCAATTTTCAAATCCTCAACATCTCTTCACGAATCTGGAAGAATGACAACAAGACATATACACGCCGAGGATGAAATATAGAAACATTGACTGAACGTGCGGGGAGTGATTTTACGGCCGCAACACTGCTTAAACAACACTAAAGTAAACTGAAGTATAAAAATAAAATGTACTAGTAATTACAATGATAAAATTCATATTTTAGCATTATCATGAACTGCTACTATCTTTCCTCGCTTGATCCTTAATAATATGTAAGGATTGTGATAATGTGGAAAAGGGGGAGAACCCCGAGAGAAATTAGAAGAAATACAATAGTTAAACAATGCAAATTCGGTTTTATTGAGTCCGATTGTGGCAGATACATCCATTTATAATGCACCGTAGCACCGACTTCTGTGGTATTCAATCCTTTATGTACCCTAACACCGGTTGAAGCGGTATACAGTCCTTAAACAACTAAACAATTAAACAATCTTTTTTAACTGTGACAGGACACCAAACATAAATGGTTTTAAAAAATAAAAATGAAAGTCACCATTCAGACTCTTATGCTTTTCCAGAGGCAAAAAGAAGAATTTTGCAAAATCATAAATTGTACAAAATAAGTTTTAAAATGGATCAAAACGTCATTAACAAATTAATAATACGGTTTTAGAAGTTTTATCATTTCATATTTTTAACATTGAAAATAAATATTGAAGATTATGCATGATGTGATCTATTTTTAAAATAATATCATGTATCAGCATTCCACAATGCCGTTAAAGATACTGCACAGATAATGCACAGATAATGCACATACAAAAGAAGAATCTAACTTAATTCTATTAAGAAAGACTCGTGTATCATCCTTTAGTATCTTAACACAATTAAGCAGCAAATGTGCAACATACGGACCAATTAAATCATGCTTTAACTAAGTAGAAAGAGGCAGGTACTCACCGTCTGATGTGGTTATCTCCCCGCTTTCACAATCCGACATGTACTGCTTTAAATGATTTGAAAGTGACATTGTTTATTGACACAATGTCTTTATCTTACACCATCTGGTTCCTATGTAGTTCCAGATTACACAAAATCATGCATTTGACATACATTTCATATACACATAACCTACAAAATTGTATGAAGTAGCACACGTACACAGCTTGTTCGCTAGGTGAATTTATTTTTAGAATCATTTTCCCAGTCTCTATTACAATGTGGCAAGGTTTTATATCAATTATTAAAGCTTTGAAAGTGATCAATAAATGATTTGAATTGATTTGTTTTATTTAAAATTCATTGCATTTCATGTGCTTGAAAAATAAAAATGTATTTGTTTTATATACTATCCTTAGTTGTCAACGAAAAAAAAAACACACACAAATAACACACTCAATTAAATAAAAGTGTATGCTCTTTTTGTAAACAGATTCATGGTGTAAGCCAACGAAATATATATAATTATATATTGTTTTGTTTGTTTGTTCACATCGACACAGTATAGGTCATATCGCGACGTTCCAGCTTTAGTGCATTATTTCAGGCACGAACGGGCACCTGAGTAGAACCACCGACGTTCCATAAGCTAGCTGAATAGCTTCCTGACATGAAAGAATCCAAAGTCCCTGTCGGTATTCGAACCCACAGCGGTGAGGGGCAAATGGTTTGAAGTCAACGACCTTAACCACTCGCCACGGACGCCCCAAATATATAACATAACATATAATAACATGTTTTTTTTTCAAGATTAAAATTTTAGAATATATCTTTTTGTTCAGTATGTGCTTTGATGGAAAAATATATAAACTTATTTGAATGACTTTTATTAACAAATATGTAACACTTGTGCTTGAAACAATTATAATGGAACCATTGTAATAGTAACAACATTAATAAGTAGATGATAAAAGATGCTATTTAATTACGGTCTGAGTCTCCTAATGGTCAGAATTGCAATCTAGCAAAATCCAATGCTAGTTCTTTACTGTGCTCAATAAGACACTGTTATGTGAATTTATTATAAACTTTTACCGTCAGTAAATGTAGTTATTGTTACATTTGTCCCCCTTCTCCCAAAAGTCAAAAAATCACTCTGACATCAAATAGATAAAATATCTTTTAAAAACTAAATAAAAAGGAAATTTCATTTTAAATGTGTTCATGTTACAATACTGCATTACACACGAACACTTAAATTAAAAATTGTTGATCCCAATTAAAACAAGCAAATTCGTTGAATTTATATCCCCCGCCGAGTACTGGTTATTATTAACACAACAACTGAAGACATAAGGCTTTATTTATATATTAATCATGGCATAAACAGTAATATTCTTTGAACTTGATAAATATTCAGGGCAATAACAGAGCCATAACTTTGTGTTAAATAGTAAAATCTGGAAATGCCAATGAGATGTATGCATACTACATAACTAATCAAGGGCTATAAATCTGAGTTATAAGTATCTGACTGGAACAAGGCGACTATATGCACATCTCCTCTTAGTATCCAATAAAGTTTCATTGAATTCCAGCCAGTAGTAGCAAAGAAGTAGCGAGGAAACAAATATTTTTCTATATGGATACTGCATAACTAATCAAGGGCCATAACTCTGAGTTAAAGTGTCTGACCCGAACAAGCCGACGATATGCGCATTATTGAAGGTTCCCATAAAGTTTCGTTGAATTCCAGCCAGTAGTTGCAGAGAAGTAGTGCGGAAACGATTTTTACTCTATATGCATACTACATAACTAATCAAGGGCCATAACTGTGAGTTAAAGTGTCTGACCGGAACAAGCCGACGATATGCGCATCTCCTCTTGGTATTGATGATTCCCATAAAGTTTCGTTGAATTCCAGCCAGTAGTTGCAGAGAATTAGTGCGGAAACGATTTTTACTCTATATGCATACTACATAACTAATCAAGGGCCATAACTCTGAGTTAAAGTGTCTGACCCGAACAAGCCGACGATATGCGCATCTCCTCTTGATATTGATGATTCCCATAAAGTTTCGTTGAATTCCAGCCAGTAGTTGCAGAGAACTACTCCGGAAACGATTTTTACTCTATATGCATACTACATAACTAATCAAGGGCCATAACTCTGAGTTAAAGGGTCTGACCGGAACAAGCCGACGATATGCGCATCTCCTCTTGATATTGATGATTCCCATAAAGTTTCGTTGAATTCCAGCCAGTAGTTGCAGAGAACTACTCCGGAAACGAAATTCGGACGGACGGATGGACGGACGGACGGACAACGCCAAAACTATATCCCCCTCCCAATTCCATCGGCGGGGGATAAAAATTAGTACATCATCCACTCCTACAATATAATTATATTAGTTGATGATAAGTACATCATCCTTCCCTACAATATTGATTATATTAAACCCCAGTCACACTAGAGCTTACGATTACTTGCGACCACCGGCGACTTGTAAAACTGACGATCATCAGCGATTGTCTGCGACCGAAACCATTTTTTGCACAGATAAATTTACTTTTGCGAGTATCGTAAGACAAGTCACCATTGACAATCGCACGACAGGTCATACGTAAACGTACGATGGTCTCAAGATTGCCTGGGATTACTTACGACTACCCGTGACATAACATGCGATCACCTACAACTTGTCGTACGACCATCACACGATTACTAAAGACTACTTAAGATTATCAGTGACTAGTGGCAATTTGTAAAGACTGTCGTTATATTGTCGCACTTCCGAACGACCATCGTGCGACAGCCTTAAGACCTTATAAGATCAAGTTAGCGACCTGTTTGATCGCAAGGAGGTTTTTGTGCAAGCTCAAAAACCTCTCTACGACTGAAATTGGTCGTGGGACCTAAATAAGATAACCTGCGACTGTCAAAGATCATCGATGATCGTCGTAAGACGTTTTAAAGATTGTCCGCGACCAGAGGTCACTGGTGATCGTGAACTGGTCTTAACTTGTCGTAAGCTCTAATGTGACTGGGGCTTAAGTAGATTATTAGTACATCATCCTTCCCTACAATATTAATTATATTAGTAGATGATTAGTACTGTTCACCCCTACAATATTAATTATGTCCGAAGATGATAAAATATCCTATTTAAACAATATTATTGGTCTAATAAAACGTTCATCTAAACAATAATATATAGTTTGATAAAAAACATCACTTTATTATACAGAATTATGTACAAACAAGACCAAGAACGGAAAAGAAGAGTTTACAAATATAATGTCATGAAAAGACGACTACAAATCATAATATGAAACCAAATAGCAACATTTATCCCGCTTTGATTTGTAAATACAAGAAAATAAATGCATTATATTAACCTACTGGCTTCGATTACATACAATTGGTTTAAAATCACAAAAGAATGAGTATGTCAATTTTCACTAGCTAAAACTTATTGACATGATTGAAGGACACAAGCTAGAAAGTATTCAGTTACACAACAAAATTCTAAGGAAAGGACTATGTACACTAACACCGTAATACGTTACAGAATAACAGCCTGACAATAACAAATAAAATCATAGGTTATATGTTGTTTCAAGAGATTATTAAACAATTTCCCAATAAAACTATAAGGACAAATTAAAATGACAGCTATGAAACTGAAATTATGGAAATGACCTATTCATGTCTTGAAATGAAACAAGAAATATCTTTAAAAAAGATAATCGGCGTAAATTCAGTGCAAAATGTCTCATAGCTTTAGAATATTTTTAAAATTAATGATATTTATTCTTTATAACAATATAAATGTCTAAATTGAAATATATTTGGTGGTTACTAGTATAATCTATGACAGTTGTCTAAACTTAGCTGAAACATGTATGCTCCTACAATGTCAACAAATTAGTCATGTTTTTATAGATGCTAGAAGCTTTTTTTTCACCGTGACTTTTGACTACTGGTTTCAAAGTCAATACCAGATAATAACCAACCACACTACCAAATTTAGAGACTGCAAAGGCCACAATCAGCTGACAACTTGAATTTTATTGTTAAATAATATTAACTTATATGTATCTGACCTTCAATTTGTAAAAGCACTTCTGTGCATAAAATGCTGCAATTATTAGGTCATGATAATAACACCAAAATCTTTTGTTGTTTATATCTTTTATTTATGAAAGAATACAAACTGTAATAAACAATCAATGGAACATATCAACTCTGAACTATACTATTTATAATGCCTTCTTATCTATCTGGCAATGAAAATGAATAATTGAAGACTTAAATCAAAAGTTAAACATAACCTTACTAGTAAAAGTTATAATTATGTATTTTATAAAAAAAGGATTTCTATTAAAAATTGCACAGCTTGACTAGTATTTTGTATATACTAGGGGTATGAGGTGGAGGTACTAGTTAAGCCTTCTGGCATGGCATGGCTACGTGTCGTACACCTACACAGGTTATATTTTACAATGTACTTTAAATGTGGAATGTAAAATATAAATGTTGTTCCATATATACAGAAATATATCTATTTATCTTATAATAAGTACTAAACTCAATTTTGTATAACCCATCAATGACACTGATTATCAAGTGAGACAGTTTCAGATTTAGGTAGTCAATTGGGGTGTATTTCGGTAAATTTACCTACCGGTGTAAACAAACGCCGAATAACTATGAATAAATTAATTTGTTATTATTACGCACAAAAAATAATACTTAAAGTTTTGCGATTCTTTATGATAATGTTGCATTTTAAATATATTAATTTTCGCAATTCATATCAGCTCTGGAGAATCTTTTTGTTGATCAAAAATATCGTTCATTTTCATAGAAAACAGAAAAGCTACGGCAAATAAAGTACGAGTGAGTAGTAATCGAATGTTTAAGAAAAGGCTGAAAAACAAAAAGTTGGGTTTGTTGTTAATATTATCAACAAAATAAATTGTACATGAAATCATATGTACTGTATATTTTTGTATTTTGATATATCTTTGTTTTGGTCATAACGTTGTGATATTTAGTTTACGATTGTATAAATATTTTTAATACAACTTTATTCTTAGAGACAAGTAAACTAAAGATTACGAATTTGTCCTTAAATTTCATAACAGCCAGTGTTTCCACCAATGAAAAACACCCTCTTTTAGCTGAAGATTTTGTAACTAACAATTTCATTTGTTACAAATCTAGGTCAAAATCCATTTTAATACAGCTACGCCGAAAAACCGCCTTTAAAATCTAAGTTTTAATCGTGTTTGTTCAAGACTGACAGGAAGAGATAAGTGTAACCCTCGAGCATCGCTTAGACTTCAACATTTAAATCAGATGACGTATGGTGATAGAGATTATATTTTAAATGATACAGTTTTTCAGAAAGTGGACCTAAACCTACATTTATAATTATATATATTAAAATGAGAAATATCTGTTACAGTCTATAAAGCTATAAATCAGGGTTGCATTTGTAGAAAGTCCTAGGTCTAAAATATGTCTTAAGACCAAAACTTAGACAATTTTCTTTTCAAAGAAAATGTCCTAACTTATGACTCTTATGTTAAGATTCTTGAATTTCTGTATAGCGATTCAGATGAACATTTACATATTGCAGATTGAAAGGCGTGTCATTGTCTTATGTAACTTTTCTCATGAGAATTAATTAAATAATCTATTAAAGGATTATGGAAAGAACATAATTTTACTGCGGATAGATTTTCTAAAAATAATTCGTTTAGATTTTTTTTATAGCTTTTAATGTGAGTTACGTTTTTTAGTCGGGCATATGAACATGAAACACACACGCACGCACGCACACACACACACGCGCGCGCACCATGCTTTATTTAGAGACAGTTTAGTAATTGATAATTACTACTGAGATAACCAGTCAAGTAATGTGCACCGATGGCAACCGCAAATCTTGATGGTATTGATTGAAAACGGCAAATTAACGAACTAATAACAGTCAGTCAGATCATATATTCGAACATATGTGCACAATTTTGTCAACAAAACTGTTAACGTATGTGTTACATTATACTAGAATATCATTGCTGGTCTTTAACATTTTTTTCCATAAAATACTGCCTCATGAAAAGTGAAACAAAAACATTTTTCATAAAAAACATTTAAAATTGTGCGAATGTTAAAAGAACCTCATAAATCCAAAATTGCAAGGTTTATAAATGCTGTTACACTTAATGATTTTGGAAAGTACTTGATTCACTAACTTTTACGCGTGACTGAAGTGGTAGTACAGTATAACACACATATATATATATGATGCTATGTCATATATTGATTGGTTGTGTAAACATACGCTAAATTTATACAGACAAAGATTGTACAACGTTTTTTACGCTGCTGCTTATAAAAGCTGGATTTGGATTTTAAAGTTTAAACACGCAGTCCCGTTAATATGAAAGAAAATGGAAAATGATGCAGGGATTTTAAAAGATCAATCGCATTTTCTCGGCCATTTCCGTCAACACTATGGCATATGTGTACAGGTTTACACTTTTCATGCTGTAATATAACACAATGGCGTCATATTTTTCTTCAATTCTGTTCCATGCAATGGATTGTATTGGATTCTCCAGACAAATGATTCTACTAAGATCAGATATAGCTAACAATATGTATGAAACAGTAAGCGAAAACTGTGCAGAATATCTTTGCATGGAAGTAATACTCGCTGGAAGTAAATCGGAGGGAGTAACTCAAACGAACGCAAGTGACAATGATCTTATGCTTGTTCTAAGAAAATGTATCTGTGTAGATACAGGTCGTCAGGAAAATGACTTCATCGTCCTTGAAGCAATAACAAAAGACTGTCCTCCTGGCTATACACAGTTACGTCTTGTGAATGATGGAAATATGGACATCCCTGATATATTTTACATGGCATCTGAATATGACATTATTAAAGGTGTTCTTTTATTAAAAAGCGCTGGGTTTCACAAGTTCTTTACTCTTGTTAGCGCAGATATTCCTTCATTTGACGGACTCGAGCAAAAATATACGGCTATAAACGGGCCAGCATTCTCTATGATTGTTGAGCGATCGAATTACCTTGGAATCAAATCAGCTAAAATCTATAACGACCACGTGCTTGCAATGCCCTATTATTCATTCACAATTCTGACAGAGTGGAAAAATCGTGTCAGACATTACGAATGGCCGCCTGCAAGTTTGATACACGACGTGTCAACTATGGAAGGCTTTGTAGTCCCAATAGGTCATAAACTTAGCGAAGAACAGCACTTTGAATGGAGAATATGTTACACTACAGCTGAACGGCAGTTGATAACTAGTTTAAATGAGACGCAGCTGAAACTGTATATTGTGATTAAAATGGTGAACAAAAATGTCATTAAACCAGTGCTTGATTGCGTCACCTCATATATGCTTAAAAATGTTATTCTATGGGTAACGGAATGTTCGCCCCTATGTATTCAACATTCTTCTTATCTTACCCGTTTTATGATACAAAGTTTATGGTTCCTGTTACATTGTTTGCTTAATAATCATCTCCCAAATTACATGATACCATCTCGAAACCTCTTACTCGGAAAGATGAAAAGTGATCAAAAGCAAACACTTACTCGATTATTAGGTGATCTGATAAACGAAGGGGACACAATAGTTCTCAGGTGTGATAAACTAAAAAATGCTATGTTTATTTTGGTCAGTAATCAGTCACTTGCATTTGCATTTAAAGTTTGGCGTGATGAAGTCGAAAAACTGATTCTTGAAATTAATAGAAACATTACGATTAAGACACGACCGGATATGATATTGCGGTCAAGTTATATTTATGATATGTGCTATGAATATTGGAAAGATGAGTCTTACATGGTAAATATCTTTCGTTTATATTCCCTGCTGAATGTAGACATCTTTTCACTGACTCAAAACGGCATACAGAATTTTCAGGACATAGTCACGTGTCTGGATAATTTGTTGTCATGAAAGAAAGGAATACCGCACATGGATAAAGCCGTTAATCTGCACATACAATCGTGCACATGCATATCATATTAAAGATAAAGTAAGATCATTCAAGTAATTTAAGTGTCTTTTTTATTTCAGTCTTTGAAGAAGTTCAGGTCAGGATGCCCTCATACGGTTTTATATATATGTTATTCAATTTGTCTAGTAAGGAATCACGTAAATGAAGGATTTGTATCCTCATATAACTGGAAAATGTATACATTGTATTAAAACTTAACTTCCTTGAGGCTCGTTTGTTTTGAAGTACATGTTTTCCTACATGTACTACAACTTATAATATCAACATCAACAATTAGCATGCTAATTAGTGTACATCTAACCATGATCTATAAATAGGACATTGTCGTAATAAATGTATGAAACAATACAGTTTCTATGATCATATGATGATGTAACATTTAGCATTATGTAAAAGAACATAGCATATGTTATGATATCATGTAATATCAATATAAGATATGACACAAAGTATTAACAAAATAGCATATCACACCATGTAATAACGCCATAGCGTATATTTGCAGGCATACAATTACACAGAAACGTATGGCATCATAGCGTAGAACATTAAATAATTTACACGATATCCCATACTTTCCTCTTTCGTAATTGTTTATCTTCATGTACATGTATTCGAGATTCTGCAAATGTTTGTATCTTTGGATGCAACAGTGTATTTCCGAATAATATTTATTGCGTAGCATTTTTTCCCCTCTCTAAATGATTGTTTTGTGCGTCTCTGAATATATTATGGAAATTGTAATCTTACTCACTCTTGTTTCAGGTCTCTTTTTTGGTACTTTGTCATCAACGGCTTCTTTCTAACCCTTTATCAATCGTTGTAATTATGAAAATATACAACAATCGGTCAAGTTGTCTATTTCACGGTCTGCGATCCTTCCTAGTGCCCGACAGTCCAAAGTGTTCTTTGCAATAGAAAGAGCATCGAACACGATTCTATCTGATTTGTACGAGGGGCGTAGCCCCCGAGTATTAACCAGACTGCCGAGTGTTTTAATGTTCTATCTATTTTGTAACGTTCCCTGTTGTCACAATATTAAACCCCAGAAAAAAAATTAACTAAATAAACAAGCATCTAAATATTATATCTCTGTCGCTTTCCTTTTCTATGCCGTCACAATAAGTAAACCCCAGTACAAATGAGCCAATCAACGGGCATGCTCTGGTAACTAATACCTGAACTCCAGTTAACGCACTGTGCATGCATATGTATACGATTTAACTCTGACACATTTTCAATAGAAAGGTCCCCAAACTATGATACAACAAATGTTATATCGCCTGCATTGATTTCAATAATGTTGGTTATCATATCCACAATTATTGCCCTTGAATCAATCTTGAGTACATTATCCGAGACAACTTTTTGCAGACTTGACCATTGTCTAACAAAATTACATCAACGAGTCTATATCATTTTTGCATTTTACGTCCGAACGATGCCATAGAAGATCTGTGTCCATATAAAGTTATACGTTTTACATTTGCCTTATCACGCAATGGAGAACCGAGAGTGCACTCATATACATATATCACAATCCTTTAAAAGATTTACTGGACAGTTCACACACCTGCTTTCATTTCCTCTTATTCTAAAAATACTACATAAGTTCAAATACATTCATTCGTGACATGAAATATCTAATTATTTCTTTTAAAGGCCATTTTCAAGTACCAAATACAATACCTATAACATACTTTTGGTTTTAAGAAGCAGTTTAATTGGTATAATCAAATTTCAGATAGACAAAATAAATACAATGTATAATGACTTGCTTATTTGCATTCACGGATAACAGTTGGAAGTACGAGTTAACTAAAGCAGAACAATTTTTTAAAAAAAAGAAAGAGACAGTGTCGTTCATGGTGAAAATCTTTGCTCAATAAGTATGATTATTCAGCGATAATTAAGTTATAAATGCGAGATAAATGCCGCCTCTTAATATTTAAAGTACAACCATACTGTCGAAAATTTATTGCTAATAGTCCAATTTTAGGAGCTAATTTAAAGATTTGTAAATTCAATGATGCATTAAAATACACTACTAAAGCTTACTAAATTACTGTTGACTTAACAATTCTATTTAAATAACATGTACGATAAACCTGCCATTTTTGGCACATCAAATTGGCAAATGATGTAGACTTTATTTAAATACAAGACATAAGAATAGATTTTGACCAAACTACGTTTCGATGTTTTACACGGAAAATATGCGTATAGTGTGCGTTTACTTTGTGTAAGAAATACTTGCATGTTGGATGCTACTTAAGCCGGTGTTAGAGGGCGCGGACGGAAGTTTGCTCTTACCACAACCGTCCATGACCATACCCGATCAAACCGAGGCTGCAACATTTTCAGTTATTTCGTTTTTAGTGTTTTATAGGGTTTCTTTTATTTCTCTATTTTTTGCATATCTCAACCCTTATTTGCAAACATTTTTTTTCTTTAACAAAAAGATATATTCGTAATAAGGAACTGTTCAAAATAGAGGATATGAGTCATTTAAAACTGCACGTTTGTAACGTCGCTTTTCATTGGATAATTGTGACGATTATATTTTTAGTTTTAAATACACGGCTGCTGTCGATTCATGAAAAAATTTTTACTTTAAAAATAATGTTTGCTGTATTATAAATTCGTTATAAAGATTGTTGACAGGTTATATGACCGTATATATAAACGGCTGTTTGCAATGTAACCCTCGCCTAGCGGCTCGGGTTATATTTACAAAAAGCCGGTTAAATAGGGCAATATAACCTGTCAACAATCTTTAAAACTAATAATGTATTGGTAGTGAAGTATGTCACCAACAGCAAACGAGTTTATAAATAGTACATTAATGGTATTTAATAGATCTATATATAGATCCATTTAACATCGTGAGTATGAGTCACAAAATGTAATACGAATTTGAAACCATATGTGTAGAGTCGTGATAATTACCAAAATCTTTAAATTTTGGCGTTCCTAAAATGGATTAGCTGATGAAAGGACAAAGTGTGGATGTTAGTGAAACAGATTGTGAATATTAAATCTCACTTTCATTATGTATCATTACACCATTGATTTTATATATCAAGTTTTATATTATTTTCTGTAACAAGAAGTTTATTGATTTACAAGAATAATTCATTTCAAGCGAGATATGAATAATTATTGGAATTGTAAGTTTTCCAATCAGATAATATTAAAATAATACTCAATCCGAACGAATTTAAAATTGTTGCAGAATGTTGTGCAAGATGTGTATTTTGAAATAATTAATGTAATAAATTGATGAAATAACATGTACAACTTTCACGCGAACGAATTGATCCGACTTATTCATTGCGATGCCTTTCTTTAAGTACGACTTTATGTAAACGAGTTCTTAAAAACAAAACAAAAACAACAACAACAACAAAAAACCTTCAAAAGTAACTCGTTATGTTTAAAGGAAACTTTTAACAAATATACAAGAACGACTGGGCGATTTTATAATAACTAATTCATTGTCCCAAGACATTTTTTATCATTTAACACGTATGACTGCATTCAAACGAATTTTAAATGGAATTTTTAATATGATACATTCAGTTGTTAGGCATTTTTGTTTGATTTACAAGAACGATTGAATTCGGACGAATTTAATTGTCTTATTTGTTTTAAAACACAAAAACGTTTCATGGCTAAGTTTGATAAATTAACAAGTACGATTTCATTCCAAATGCTACAAGTAACTTATTCAATGTATAGGCAAGTTATGATATAAACAAGTATGACTCCATTCGAACGAATTTTAAATTATTCAATGTTATGTAATGTTATAGAACTGTGTTAGTTTTATGTAGAGCAAGTGCAACATCATTCAATATAAAAGATAAAATTTAATCCTTATAAATTCTATACAATACATCTATGTAAGTACGCGTTATTCGTCAGCTGTGTGGATTCACAACTTACTTTTTACAGAGGCTCCTTTAAAATTTTCTTTTCTTCACTTGTTATAAAATATTCAACAAACAATGCTGAAACACATCACCATATTGATTTGTTTCAACAGGTTTCATGATGGCGTCATATTTTTCAACATTAGTTAGTGGGGCCATGGACTGTATAGGTTACTCAGAACAAAGTATTATATTAAGAGCGAAGACTTTTAAAGAGTTCTATGATATTTTGAGTCAACACGTCGAAGAAACTTTTCATATGGAAATAATTTTAGCCGGGAGTAAATCAGAAGGAGTTGTACCATACCATGCCAGCGACCTTGACATTATGTGTATTTTACAATCCTGCATTTATGTTGATCAAGGTCAGTTAGAAGACAAGCTTACCGTAATCGAAACTTATATGAAAAATTGTCCATCGGGATATACCAAATTACGACCATTACATATCGAAAATACAGGCATATCTTTAATGTTGTATTTATTCTCTGTGTATGGAATTTCTAATGGTGTTTTGTTTTTGAAAAGCGTTGCTCTTTCAGAAATTCTCTTAAAATATTCCGACAATTTTCTTCATTTCTATGACGGATACAATGGAGTAAATAAATCTCTATCTGGACCCGCTTTGGCTATAACTTATCAGCCTAGTGTAGTTATGGACGTGCAACAAAGTAATGTTTATAGCGATCAAGTTCTTGCCATACGTTACTATTCGTCTAGCATCATGCAGGAATGGGCGGAGCGTAACAGGCAGTTTGATTGGCCGCCGCCTGATGTCATAGAAGATGTTTCTACAACAGAAGGATATGTTGTACCTGTCGGACATAAGCTCAGCGAAGGACAAAGCCTCGAATGGAGAATATGCTTTACTACTGGGGAATGTAAATTGGTCGCAAGTTTTAATGCAACACAACTTAAGTTGTAAGATTTGTTAAAACTGACTGTGAAAGAAATCCTGAAACCAGCAGTTGACTGTGTCAGCTCCTACATGGTAAAGAATCTTGTATTTTGGCTAATGGAACATAATCCAACGTTTGTCTTCACCCCATCAATTCTGACGAAATGTGTCATACACGCTTTATGGTTTTTATTCGACTGTCTACGTAATAACAATCTACCAAATTACATGATACCTAATAGAAACCTTTTCATTGGAAAGGTACAGGCAAACAAAAACAAGGAGTTAAAAACCTTGTAAGAGAACTTTTAAACGAGGGTGAGACACTTGTCTTTAGATTTGAAAAGCTGAAGAATGCTGTATATGTATATGAAAGCAATCGTTGCTTGGCAACAAGAGTGCAGTCGTGGCGAGACGAAATCGAACAGTTATTGCTGATTATCAACTTGAAATTCACACAAAACACAACGAAAAAAATGAGGTTTCAGGGAAGCCTTTTTTATGATGTTGTGTTTGAATATTGTAAAGACGATTCATACATGCCAGTTATAGATAGACTAGTATACCTTTTAAATTTTAATGTTTCAGCAATACTGACAAATGGTACCAATGGTATTAAAGACATGGATAAATGGTTGCATAATTTGTTATCATAATGAACTGAATCATACCATATTATCCATTTTTCGCTAAAAGTATTGGAGAAACGAAATTCAAATACATTTATGTCTGAATGAAAAGCTGAAGAATGCTGTATATGTATATGAAATCAATCGTTGTTTGGCAACAAGAGTGCAGTCGTGGCGAGACGAAATCGAACAGTTATTGCTGATTATCAACATGAAATTCATACGAAACACAACGAAAAAAATGAGGTTTCAGCGAAGCCTTTTTTATGATGTTGTGTTTGAATATTGTAAAGACGATTCATACATTCCAGTTATTGGTAGACTATTATACCTTTTACATTTTGATGTTTCAGCAATACTGACAAATGGTGCCAATGGTATTAAAGACATGGATACATGGCTGCATAATTTGTTATCATAATGAACTGAATCATACCATATTATCCATTTTTCGCTAAAAGTATTGAAGAAACGAAATACAAATACATTTATGTCTGAATGAAATTACAACGTTTGTAAATTTCTCTATGTAGTTTCACATCTTGTACACTAGCAAAAACCAAAGGAACTCTATGAAAAGCATACGTTCAATGCAAAGAAATAATAATTACGATGTAGAATTGCATTTCTAGAAGTATCTAGATAGACTTATACCACACAGTTACATGAAGCAAACGAACAAAAGATAATAATTCATTGCTTTTATTATTTCAGAAAGTACGAATAAATTTTTTTCAGGAAATAATTCAGCATAGAATATCATTTTATTGCTCAACAATCTTTTACACACATACATAAATATGTTTGTTTCTGCGGCAAATCATTCATTGCATCATTTGAAAGTTCTTACAGGTGATGATTTACATTATTACTGGTCTTTTACTTTGTAAGATCATAATGGAACTGAATGGCGTCCGTATAACCCCTGCCTTTTAAGTTTCCAGCATTTGGCACCCGTCCAATCTCCGTGAATCCAAATTTACGCCACATTTTCACATACGTGCCATTTGTCACAAACACTAAATTAAGAAAGCTAGCTCAATATTCTAGATCATGTGCGATTTTTAAATCGTTTTCTACCATAAACGACACATGCTGAACGAATTCCTATGTTCCGCTAAATGATATGAACAGATATTGATTGATTGATATACGCTCATTGTATACAGATAATTGTATACAGTCAATGAACCCTGAAAAAGGTAAACTTATACAAACTGGAGATATATTTAAAGTTTAAACACGTAGTCTCGTGATCGATTAACATATAAAGGAAAATGGAAGAGGAATGTTAATTTTTTTCACGGCGCTTTCCATAAATACTCGGATTATAAAATGGAGTATGTGTACAGGTTTACACTTTTCATGCTGTAATATTACACAATGGCGTCATATTTTTCTTCCCTTCTGTTCCATGCAATGGATTGTATCGGATTCTCCAGACAAATGATTCTACTAAGAGCAGATATAACTAACAAGATGTATGAAACAGTAAGCGAAAACTCTGCAAAATATTTTGGCCTGGAACTTATACTCGCTGGAAGTAAATCAGAAGGAATAACTCAAACAAACGAAAGTGACAATGATATAATGATTGTTCTTAGAAAATGTATCTGTGTAGATACAGGTCGTCAGGAAAATGACTTTATCGTCCTTGAAGCAATAACAAAAGACTGTCCACCTGGCTATACACAGTTACGTCTTGTGAATGATGAAAATATGGACATACCAGATATATTTTACATGTCATCTGAATATGACATTATTAAAGGTGTTCTTTTATTAAAAAGCGTTAGGATTCAGAAGTTCTTTTCTCTGATTAGCGCAGAATTCCCTTCATTAGACGGACTTAAGCAAAAATACACGGGTATTAACGGACCAGCAATCTCTACGATTGTCGAGAGATCGAATTATCTGGGAATTAATTTAGCTAAAGTCTTAAACGATTTCGTGCTTGCAATGCCTTATTATTCATCATCAATTCTGACAGAGTGGAAAAAACGTGTCAGACGTCATGAATGGCCGCCTGCAAGTTTGATACACGATGTGGCAACTATGGAAGGCTTTGTCGTCCCCATTGGTCATAAACTTAGCGAAGAACAGCACTTTGAATGGAGAATATGTTACACTACAGCTGAACGGAAATTGATAACTAGTTTGAACGAGACGCAGCTTAAACTGTATATTGTGATTAAAATGGTGAACGAATATGTCATTAAACCAGAAATTGATTGCATCACCTCATATATGCTTAAAAATGTGATTCTATGGATAACGGAATGTTCGCCTCTGTGCATTCAACGTCCTTCTTATCTTACTGGTTTTATTATACAAAGTTTATGGTTCCTGTTACATTGTTTGCATAATAATCATCTCCCAAATTACATGATACCATCTCGAAATTTACTCGGAAAGATGAAAATTGATCAGAAGCAAACACTTACTCGGTTGTTAGGTGATCTGATAAACGAAGGGGACATAATTGTTCTTAGATGTGATAAACTAACAAATGCTATGTTTTTTTGGCCTGTAATCAATCATTAGCATTTGCTTTTAAAGTTTGGCGAAATGAAGTCGAAAAATTGTTTCTTGAAATAAATAGAAAAATTGTAAGTAAGACAAGACCGGATATGGTATCGCGGTCAAGTTATGTGTATGATGTGTGTAATGAATATTTGAAAGATGAGTCTTCCATGGTAGATTTCTTTCGGTTTTTTGCTTTGCTGAATGTAGACATCTTTACACTGACTCAAAACGGCATGGATGACATTTTCACGTGGCTGAATAGTTTTTTATCATGAAAGAGAGCCGTAAATATGCACATTCGCGCATGCGCATAGACATCATTTTAAAACTAGAATAGGATCATTTAATAAATTTCTTGATGAATATGGGCTGCAAAATATTTAAAGTGTCTTTCTTTTCATTTCAGTCTTCGTAGAAGTTCATGACACGATTCCCTCATACCATTATATATGTTGTCAATTTGTATAGTAAAAGATTATTGAAGTGATGGTATAAATAAAAAGGAATTGTTTCCTCATATATGTAGAAAATGGATATTAAAACTAATTGTTGCTTTCTACACATAATTAAGAATCGAGAGTGCACTCAGATAAATATATCACAATATTTTAAAGCATTTACCGAATAGTTCACATTTATTCTTTTTTTTATATAACATAGTGGTCGGTTGCGCCATTTCAAACCCTCGAGAAATTTTATCGATTTATCATAAAATGTCGCGGGAAACTTACAAATCTGTGAGATTTTTCACCGAGATCGTACAAAATGTTCCGCGGAATGTATAAACCTCGATATTGGATTACAGTTAGTTGTTGGCTGGTTGCGTCCATAGTTTTACTCTACATTTTATCCCTCGTTTGTCTATAAAAAATCGATGAACAGAGAGAAATTTGTGACATTTTTGTGACAAGTGTTGCAGAAATTCTACAGAAAGTCGCGGGTAAAAAATGCTCAACTTTTCACCCGCAACATTTTGTAAGAAATCCGCGACTTTTTGCGCAGAGACTTTTTCTGGCATATAAAGTCGAGGCTTAATGCTCAAACTCAACTTTTTACAAACAAAATAATGCGGATTAAAATGGTCGCAGTCAGCTAATTAAAGTAGACATATACGAGAGGTTAGACTTTCTTTGTTGCGTAAAATACATGTATATTTGAGATATTGATTTGAAATTCTTACACTGCTTAGAAGAATCAATAGCAAATAAACAAAGAAAAATTCATGTTAGTAGCTTCTTGTATTACAACAATATTTAATTTTACATAAACACATGTCAGCGACAGCAGCGCACTCCAAAAAGTTATTGATGTCAACGTCATAATATTTAACGTACAACTTATGCTTCCACGTTACATGTACGAAGTCAATAACCATTACTGCTTCACAAAGTAATGTCCATCACTAATTGTTGTATGCGACTTAAACACTAATGATAGTGAAATATTATTTTCTCTGTTCGCCTGCTGTTTTTTTTTTCAAATGTTTTTGTTAGTGTCATTCCCAAATTAAAACAAAATTTTATGACCACACTATTTTCTGATTTCTGCGTGTCCGTCATTTTCCCATTGTAAACAATATCGTCGTCTAGCGTGTCTGGCGATTTCAACAAAAAATAACGGAAATGACGTCCATAATTTTGAAGAATTACTTTAATGACATCATAGAAGAAATTTGCGATGTTTAGTTTACATTAATTAGTAGTTTTTTAGCAAAAATATACGATGTCTAATTGCGCTTTTCTACCGTGCGCCGGGTGCCGTGTATGTGCTTATTTAAAAGCAATATAAAATCATTATTTATTGACGTAGTCAAAACGTGTTGATAATATTCTACAATGTATGCTGGTAAAATTTCATTACAATACACGTTGACGTTCAAAAGATATTTAAAATGTCCACGAATTTTTGGATAACCCCTCGTATTTGCGTGGCTTAGTTCTTAGTCCGGTTTCCTTCGTAAAACTCGACTTTTTTTGGCCGCAAGTGCGACAGCAAAACTCGAGAAATTCTCTTTCTAAACACATCCGCATTTCTTGAGAATCTATATAGGATAAAATGTCTATCAACAACAATCAGCAACTAGAATAAAATAATGAAACCATTTAAATTAGTATAAACATTGTGTTTTGTACTTTTATAGAAGTTTTAGATAGAAAACATTATTTTTTATACATTCTTTTACTTACTATGGTATTTCTTATGCTAAATTGTGCATAATCAAAAGGCAGAGTATGGTACTTAATATTTTCAAGAGATCAAAGCTATCCAATAAAAGTATTTGACAATTTCAACTTACATATAACTTAGAATCTTTATAAGAGCTACACAATCAAGAAGTAAAAAACATTGTAACATATTTTGAATTATGCACTTTAAGATGGAATATTTAAAATGGGTGTGGGAGTATAAATGTTTAGTAATTCTAAGTTATCTAATCAGTAAGTCTGTTCTTAATAAAAAAACTTGCATCTTGATGTAGTTCTGTTGAAACAAATTTCAAACATTGATAAGTTATCAAAGGTTCTTAGTGAAAAACTGGCATATCGATAAAGTTCTGTTCAAACATACTTCAAATATTGACAAGTTATCTTGTGTTCTTTGTGAAAGACTCGTGACTCGATGTTATATCATCAATAACAATTCCTTCTCCTTTTCTAATAAGATTTAGTCAGGATACCATCATTACCATGAGGCTCTAACATCGAAAAACTAATTAAACCCCATTGCAAAAGACAGTAAGTCCCCTTGACTATAATTTCTCTTACGTTTTCCTACAAGAAGATCACCCCTATCTTCCCTCATCACTCATGATATTACTGTTTCCATCAAACCATCGCGTCTGTTTTCTGAAATATTTGTTTTGAAAATTCCATGCTTCTTTTTGTTGGGTTGAAACCTACAAAGTAGTATAAAGGATAGGCCATTTGGTGACTTTCGAGGAAGACCCCGGTTGCTTCCCTGCATAATGTCAGGAACAAACCCCCGATGTTCCGTAACTGAGCTGGAAAAGAATCTGTAAACCCTTGCAGAGCTCAATTCTACAGCAGTGAAAGGCAAAGTCAAAGAAGACACCCCGAGTTCTTTTTATATATATTTGCTAAGAAGCACTTACCTAGTATTTTTTAAGTCATTTCCATTTATAAATGTGAGTGATTATTATTGCCTACAGACAGCTAAGTCTATATAAGATCATCAGATTCGTCAGACTGCTTACTTGGAATGTTCAATATTTAAATGTGAACTGTCTTGAGGTGAACAGGAAATGAAAGCTGAATTACAATTCAGGTGAATAGGATAGAAAGTAATATTTAAGAAAAAGTATATCAAATATTTTTAAATAAACATATACCTCTTCATTATATGTCCATGCAAGTATCCGCCATTTACTGCACAATTCTGCGTTACTTTTTGCACGATTCGTGCGTTATTTTCCAATTCCAGCGTTACTGGAAAGATATGGTGATAGTGGTTGTTGCATTTTACATATAACACGTACCATGCTACGTCACATTGATTGCTTAGTTTACCGTAAAATACCGGTAAATATTGTGCTGCTTATGAAAGCTGGAGATAAAGTTTGCATTAGGATTTTAAAGAGGAAACGCGTAGTGTTGTGATCCGTTAACGTTGATGCAGGGATTTCAAAAGATCACTCGTATCTTCTCGACCCTTTCCGTCAACAGTTGGATTATGAAATAGAATAACATGTATGCAGGTTTACACTTTTCATGCTGTAATATTACACAATGGCGTCATATTTTTCTTCCATTCTGTTTCATGCAATTGATTGTATTGGCTTCTCAAGACAAATGATACTACAAAGAGCTGATGATACTAACAAGATATATGAAACAGCGAGCAAAACTGTGCAGAATATTTTTACATGAAATTAATACGCGCTGGAAGTAACTTGGAGGGACTAACTCAAACGAACTCAACTGACACTGATATTATGTTTGTTCATAAATATATCAGACGAGTGTAGATACAGGTCGTCAGGAAAATGACACCATCGTCTTTGAAGCAATAACAAAAGACTGTCCACCTGTCCACTTTACACAGTTACGTTTGTAAACGATGGGAAATATAGCCATACCTGATGCATTTTAGATGGCGTCTGAATATGACATCGTCAAAGGTGTTCTTTATTAAAAAGTGCTTGGTTACATAAGTTCTTTAGTCTGATCAGCGCATAAATTCCTTCATTCGACGGGCTCGAGCATAAAAACACGGCTATTAATGGACCAGCATTCTCTATGATTGTTGAGCTATCGAATTGTTAAGGAATCAAATCAGCTTACATCTTCTACGATCACGTGCTTGAAATTCTTTAGTAATCATCGTCGATTCTGACACAGTGGAAAAATCGTGTCATACGCCACGAATGGCCGCCTGCAAGTTTGATACACGACGTGTTAACTTTGGAAAGCTGCTTTGTTGTCCCCATAGTGAATAACAACACTTTGAATGGAGAATATGTTACACTTCAGCTGAACGGCAGTTGATAACTAGTTTGAATGAGACGCAGCTTAAACTGTATAATGTGATTAAAATGGTGAACAAATATGTGATGTCATTAAACCAGTTATTGATAGCGTCACCTCATATATGCTAAAATGTTGATTCTATGGATAACGGAATGTTCACTTCTGTGTATACAACATCCTCCTTATCTTACTCTTTTTATGATACAATGTTTAATGTTCCTGTTACATTGTTTGCATAAAAATCATCTCCCAAATTACATGATACCATCTCGAAACCTCTTACCCGGAAAGGTGAAAATTGATCAAAAGCAAACACTTACTCGGTTGTTACATCAACTGATTAACGAAGGAGACAGAATTGTTCTCAAATGTTATAAAATAAGAAATGCTATGTTTATTGTGGTCAATAATCAGTCATTAACATTTGCATTTAAAGTCTGGCTGAAGTAGAAAAACCGATTCTGGAAAAATGGTAAAATAGTACGACAAAACCGGATATGATGTAGAATATTCAGGAAATTGTCACGTGGCTGGATAATTTATTGCCATGAAAGAAATTAAGGAATACCACACATGGATAAAGCCGTCAATATGCACACACATGCATATACATATCATATTAAAGATAAAATAGCTTCATTGAAGTATTCAAGTGTCTTTTTTCATTTCAGTGTTCGAAGAAGTTCATGTCAGTATGCCTTCATACGGTTATATATGTTATCAATTTGTCTATAAGTGATGAAATGAATTAAAAGGATTTGTATTCTCATATATCTGGAATATGTATACATTGTATTAAAACTTTTCTTTATGCTCGTTGTTTTGAAGAACATTTTTTCCTACATGTAGTACAACATAAAATATCAACATCAGCATAAGCATGCTCATTATTTTACGCCTAACTATAAATAGGCCATTGTCGTCATAAATTTATAAAATAATACAGTTTTCACTATCATATGATAATTTTACATTGCACATCGAGACAAACAACATAGCATGTTATAATATCATGAACATGTAATTACAAAATAACATATGACACAAATTTTTAACAAAATAGCAAATCGCATCATAAAATTACGCCATAGCGTATACTAGGAGGCATACAATATAATAATTACGTATCACATAATAGCATAGAACATTAATTAATTTTCATGATCCCCCATGATTTCCTCTTCCATAATTGTTTATTTGCATATTTTCGAAATTTTGCATTTTTTATATATATTTGGGTGTAACAGGTTCTTTTCCGAATTATATTTATTGCGTAGCATTTTTCCTGTCTAATTGTTTCGGGCGTCTCTGAATATAAAGGGAAATTGTAATCCGTTGTTTCAGGTCTCTGATATGGTACTTTATTTTTAATCTACGACTTCTCTTTAACCTTCTATCTATCCTTGATGATTGAATTGTACGATTATCGTTCATGCTTTTTTATCTCACTGTCCGTGACCCTTCAAAATGCCCCCACAGTCACAAGTGCTCTTTTAAATGTTAAATCGCGACATTGATCTCATTCACGTTGGTAATCATATCTGCACGTAATTACCTGGAATCAGTTTTGAGTACGTTACCTTAAAGATTTTCCTCACACCATTAACAACTTTTTGCAGATTTTGCCGTTGTCTTAAAGCAAATTGTTAGCTAAAGCAAAACAAAAAGAAGAACCCAAATAAGATGAAGGAAGAGACAGTCTCGTACATGGTGAAAATCTTTGCTTGATGAGAAAATTTGTATATAAAGTGATAATTAAGTTATAAATGCGAGATAAATGCCGCCTCTTAGTATTTAAAGTACAATCATATTGTCGATACTTAATTGTTAATAGTCCCATTTTAGGAGCTTGTAAATGTAACGATACATTAAAACCCTAACGTACAGATCACTTCTTAAGCTTACTAAATTGCTGTTGACTTAACAATTCTATTTAATTACCGTGTACGATAAGCCTGCCATTTTTGGCACATCAAATTGGTAAAGAATGTTGTATATTAGGTAATGGAACATACTCCAACGTTTGTCTTCATCCCATCAACTCTGACGAAATGTGTCATACACGCTTTATGGTTTTTATTCGACTGTCTACGTAATAACAATCTACTAAATTACATGATACCTAACAGAAACCTTTTCATTGGAAAGGTACAAGGCAAACAAAAACAGGGAGTTAAAAACCTTGTAAGAGAACTTTTAAACGAGGGTGAGACACTTGTCTTTAGATTTGAAAAGCTGAAGGATGCTGTATATGTATATGAAAGCAATCGTTGCTTGGCAACAAGAGTGCAGTCGTGGCGAGACGAAATCGAACAATATGGCGTTTCAGCGAAGCTTTTTTTATAATGTGCTGTTTGAATATTGTAAAGACGATTCATACATGCCAGTTACTAGTATACTTTTTAAATTGTGATGTTTCAGCATTACTGACAAATGATACCAATGGTATTAAGGACATTGATAAATGGTTGCATAATTTGTTATCATAATGAACTGAATCATACCATATTATCCATTTTTTGGTAAAAGTATTGGAGAAACGAAATACAAATATATTTATGTCTGAATGAAATTACAACGTTTGTAAATTTCTCTATGTAGTTTCACATCTTGTACCAAAGGAACTTTATGAAAACCATACGGTTAATGCGAAAAAATAACAATAACGGATGTAGAATTGCTTTTCTGGAAGTAATTAATGGCAGATATCAACTTATGTACAAACCCGATCAAACCGAGTTTGTATTTTTCATGTAATTTTGTTGTGATTAATACTTCCGAGGGATTACTTTGTTTCAAGATTTTTATATCACGTAGTAACACATAGCAAACGGACACAACAGTTAATAATTCATTTCTTTTTGTATAGACGAAAGTACGAATAGAAAATAATTCAGCATAGAATTTTCATTTTGTTGCTCAAAAATATATTACAAATATATAATATACTGTGTATGTTTTTTTTTTCTGTGGCAAAACATTCATTGTAGCATTTGAAAGTTCTTACTAGTGATGATTCACTTTATTACTGGTCTTTTACTTTGTAAGATCATAATGGAACTGAATGGCGTCCGTATAACCCCTGCCTTTTAAGTTTCCAGCATTTGGCACCCGTCCAATCTCCGTGAATCCAAATTTACGCCACATTTTCACAGACGTCTCATTTGTAACAAATACTAAATTAAAAAAGCTAGCTCTATATCCTAGATCACGTGCAATTTTTAAATAGTTTTCTACCATAAATGAGCCTACACCACGTCCTCTTGCGGACTTCTTTACGATGAATCCCGCGTTACAGTTATGAGAGCACCTGCCCGGAAAATTTGGTTTGATATAAAACGCACCAAGAACTTCCTGCGTCTGTTTATCGTAGCAGACGTAAACATCATGCGTGAGATAATACGCCCGAAAATCTTCAACTGACGTCATGTCTTCCTGTGGATAACTATCACCTGAAAAAATAAGACATAGAAATATTATTTATGGCAGATAATACCAAAGCCAAGAAAAAATCTTTGTCACTGATTTTACAAATTATCGTGTTTCTGTAAATTTCAAATAAAAAAATAGTTTTTTGGTACTCTCTTATCTACGATAAGTAGAACTATTCTTACTAAGTGCAGGTTGACTTTAATGGTGTGCCCAAATTGTAAAGAACCTTCAGGCATAAATTAAAAGGTTTATTCAGATAATTTTGACACACGCATTTAGGATCGTGTATATCATTTCGATTAAAAAGCAAAATAATATCAGAGATCATTTTATTTTGTAAAATATAAAAGGTCTGATACAATGATTTTGATATGCCTTGCCTTTCTCCAGTTATCAGATATTTGTTGCCCATAACAACCTTGAATAAAGAAATATACTCTGTATATTACTAAATATATAAATATATTATTACTGTATTGTTGATCTGATAGCTTTTCATAAAAGAGCTTTTTTGATAACCAAAAAAGCTCCGTACATTATTTGAAATTGTATCAATAAACAATGTGAAGTATTTATGTTATTTGTTTGGTACCTTCTTCATTTACAATATATCTAAGAATTTCATTGGGATCGTTCTTTTTCATGAGTTTTATGGTTCTGTCATACAAGATCTAGAACAACTGTCTGGGTCCATCTTTATAATGTGTTTCTTTGGGCAGATAGTCCAGTGATACCGTCCGACTTCCCAGATTTTGATATGGTATGCGGTTGGACGGCCATCGTGTTTTCATAAAAGTTAGGAGGTTTCAACCTGTAATTAAGTCATATCGACAAATATAGATACCTTGGATCATGCTAACTGATGCAACATTGGACTAAAGCACATGTACTATGTTTTGTTCTTTTGCCACAAAGTTCAACACAGTTTGCATTGAAGATTGGAGGAATGAATCGTGTTATGTGGATTTATGACGTCCATGACATGCTCTCACAATGGTAATTCTGTACACTGAATGCTTACTTTCTTAAAAAATGTTGAACGTGTTCATTTTAAGTGGCACAATGCTCAATGTTCTAGCGTAAATTGATAGTGAACAGGTAAAGAAAATTGACACTTTGCCATAATTGTGCTCAATTGTATATTTTGCTATTGAAAAATAATCATAATCCACAATAACGATGGAAATGCAATAACGTTCAATTCTTAAAAAGAGTGGGTAGTCTTTTTTTATGCAGTAAAATTTAAGGAAAACAAGCAGCAGTTTTTAGACATGAGGACATTGTTTGAAATCCTGTATTAACAAAATTATTAGACATTAGACGCGCCAGAAGCTACAGGAATATCAAAGAAAATGTTTAAAATAAGTGAAAAATAGTAGAGAGCGTTATTTGAGTCTTTATGCATTGTATACCGAAATGTAGTGATGCCACTAAACCTTCGACGTCAAAAAAAAACTGTTCGTGTTAAGTTCTCATTTAGTTTTGGAATAGTACCGGTCTGGTAATAAGATGCGGCGGCCATGACAAAAGATATCATAGGACGCGTTTGCGACCAGCATGAATCCAGACCAGCCTGCGTACCCGCACAGTCTTATCAGGATCCATGCTGTTTACGATCAGTTTCTCTACTTGTAATAGGGTTTGTCAGCAAACATCATGAATCCTGATCAGACTGCGCCGCGGATGCTGTATGTTGGTTTTGCCATGGCGCGGCATATATATTCTGTAGCCATGTCACATAAATGTTCATCGATGTACCTTAGAACGACCAGATACTTATTTAAATACCTGAATAGATGTTATAGATTTGTTATTTTTCTGATTCTAAGATAATACTGTTTGTTTCTATTAAGTGTGTTTAAGTGCGGTTTGATCTTGGATGACGTGATCAGTGTTGCGCGTGGCACTAATGGATGTACTATTGATATAGATGGGCCAGCAGTAAGGAGGAATTAGCGCTAGGAGGCGAAATTTAATTGCCATTTTATCAGTGTCACCGATCTTGACTATAAATGCTTTATTTGTCATTGAGCATTGGCTTACAAATTTAGAGCTAAGAACTATACAATTGATTCATACATAGCATTATACGTTATTACATTTTGTGTGATAAGAAGCATTTCTGTATCTTGTTTCATGTCTTGTCTGTTTTGAAGGAAATAAATATCTTCAGGATTTAAATAATTGTTTTTGTTGTCTTTTAAAACTTGTCTTTTATAAACCAAAACCTTTATTTTTTTCTTTGGTAAATTATTATAGTTTGGCAACGTATGTCAGGTATATGCGGATTTTGCTAAAAAAACTGGTTCTTTTGTCGAACTAACAAGTTGCATTTCTGTTTATATGCGATAACTTCACCTGGTATTTTCGGTTTGAAAAAAAAAATTGAAGCATATATATGATTTATTTATTTATGTTGTAACCAATATGTAATGTGAACATATCATTAGATTTTTTTATTTCGTTAATACTAAAAAAAGTATTGCTATACCTAACTTTACGATAATTGTAAGTTTAGGAAAGATTTCAAAAATATTATATCAAATATACATTATACATCATAGGGCTCTGATAACGGAGCTTTATAATTACTTTAAAATTAACGTACTAAATTTAGTGTACAGCCACCTATGTACGAGCGTTGTATAGCAAACTTTTAGACATTGTCATAATGTTTTATTATGAAATGTCTTTTACATATAAGGGGTGAATTTGTGGAAATATATTTTGTGCTTTAATCGGCATGGACCAATTAAGCATATACAGTCATTATTACATGCTTGAAGATGGACGGGATTTCGGTTGAGACATATTCAGACGTACTTATGTAGTTTACATGGGAGATAAGTGACGAGGTATGTCTAGAGTACTTAATTAAATTAATGTGGACGGCACTGATTAATAATTAGTGGGAGGTAATTTCGCGTAAATGTGGGTTATTCGGGTTAGTGTTACGGCTATTTGTGGCTTAGCCTACGCCACCATGTGTGGTTAGAGGATAGACAAATGACACTCAATAACAGACGCCGAGTTGCTACACACGTTGATAATTTTATGTTCGAATTGATGTTGTGAGATTCATGAAATACGGTTACTCTCTTCACAGGCGTTGTTATCTATATTTATTGTCAGTGTACATTACCGATTTTCAACTGGCGTTAGTCATAATAGGACGCGTGAGCTGCTGCTTTGTTTGTTGTTTTAGATATGACGAAAGATCTTTCTGTACATAAATTAATAGGAAGATAATCTCGCAAGTAAGACCTACACACTCGTTTTGTTATGATTGAAAGTAAGTGTAAAGTTCGTATTCTGAGGTGATCATTATTGAAAGGAAGTTTTGAGCAGAAGGCCCGGTTATGTATATAAACCCAAATAGGTTAATCCGTTACTAAAGAGTATCAATGGGTATATTATTGGCTTAACTATTAAACTGTTAAATGCAAACGAAATTACCATGATTGTGTTATTAACTTTGTGATCATTTAGTAAACAATTCTAATGAGCATATTTAGCTTAGATCCTGAATTTTGTATAATATATATAAAGAGTGACATATTGCCTTCCTTGCAGTTGTATACACAGATTGTCAGTGTGACCAGTGCCTATTAGATTTCTAGCATGCATAGTATTGCAAAGTAAAATTCACTGGCACATCTTCATTTTAAATAGATTATGTATGGGTTCCAAATAGAGAAAAGACACAATAGTTTTTGTTTGGCAATGGTAGTGGAGAACATACGTCTTGAAACTGCGAATATATAGTTTTAGTAAGTATGTAATAAATTGTTTAAGCCTTTAAACATATATAAAGTCCACTCTTTATAAACTTCTTTATAAACCAAACCACGTGTGCAAGTACTTTATATAGAGCGGCTTGCATATGCACATGTACTTTGTTTACGAATGTTATCTTTAATGGGAGCTAAGTACGATTTAACTATTCTCTCTTTTTGGACTTAAAGGTAATGTCCCTTTTATCAAAGATATATTGATAAATGTCTGCTAACAGGATTATTTGGAGTATGAATTTTTGCAAGAACATATAATCTATAGGAGATATTTAAGTTTCTTCGAGTGGTATGACAATAAATATTTCACGTGACGAGTGGCAGTAGCCCCTTGTAAAATATGTTAATTTTCATACCACAAGATGAAAATAAATCCTGTATTACTAGAAAAAAATGAATGTTCTGTCTATTTTTTACTTTTTTTCTTTTTGACCTTGTGGAAAGGAAAATTCCCTTTTAATTTTGTGCATTGCCTGCATTTAGAAGAAAATAGTCCCGCAAGACACCAGTGAAAATATGGAAAATATGTTTCACTGCAGTGAAAAATATATTTTTACAGTGAAAACTTAAAAAGACGCATTTTATTTCATCAATATTTCCCAATATTTCATTTGTAAGTATATGATAAATAGAGTTATAATAGAATGGGAAGTATACCTACCTTATAATGATTTAACATGGGCATTCTTTTTTAATCTCACTTTAGCAGTGATTGTTTACCATGATCCATGCTTATATAACTGAGGATTTTTTGTTTGACATTTAAATACAGTTGAGAAAAAAAATAACAAAAATTAACGATCGTTTTATACCTTAATTGTAAGAAAAACATATCTTCTGTTTTATTTGGGTTAAAGTTAATCAACCATTGTTTACACTATTTTTTTAAGGTCGGAATTAAGAGTGCTTTCAATGTAAATCAGATCATTAGAGAAAACAAATTAAGAGCTATCGGCAGAAGATACATAAAGTTAGGTTGATAAATTGTGGAAAATATGAACAATTTACAGTGTAATAAACCTCTTTTATATACAGTGAAATTATGTTAATTTTGTTCGCTATCACGTTAAGCGGAATAAGTACTTGAAATATACTTAAAAAAAGACTATTTTTTATGGTGATGAACCAATAATTAATATTGCAAATGTTTAGGATAAAATATAAAACTACCTAAATAATAAAAAAACTACCCCATTCTTTTTAAAATTTGAACAATAATGATAAACCCAGAACGACATTAAAAGAAAGTACGTGGTTCACATGGATTATTGATTGATTTTGTATTGTAAAATATAAAATTGAATGATTTTCAACTTCGTTAATTGACAATTTCAACTTCGGGAAAATAAAATATTGAATTTGTAAAGTTGAATCCGTTAAGTTCAAAAGTTGAAATTGTGAATTCTTGAATTCCGTATGTTGAGTTAAAATTGTGTATTCACGAAGATGAAATCGTGAATTCATGATAGTAGAGTTGCGAATGCATAATGTCTCCTATACATTAACATTTAGCGTGATTTTACGCCATATCAAAATATTTGAAAAACCGCATAAATATGTGATAAATAGAGGATATTGAATAAGTGTAGGTTCAATAATAAATTATTGATAGATAGACAGATATTTGTTAAATGAAATAATATTATTCTCGACTTTCAATGGATAAACAAGTTGAATAAAAATGTATTATAAACAGTGTCTTCTTCGAAAAATATTGAATAATGTTTCTAGTCAAATTGTCTCCGAGGAAATCTATCTTTTATAATTATTCGAGATTTGCTTGTTACAAAGCAATCAAATTTTAGTCTAATTAAAGATTACCAAAATAATCATATTTCGCGACAACTAACCAA